GCGCTCCTTAGAATACTTTTTGATCTTCTAAAAACAGACTATGCTTCAAAAGCTAACCGATTCATCGGAGCGAATGCCCTGTGCTATGCTAAACAAATCGTGTGTCTCCGATACATTCTACATAATGGGAGCACTTCGAATCAAATTTTAAAATTGCAGTTCCTTGCCACATCGTTGCTTTACGTGCTGACATGGTTGATTTGGCAGTTTCTACCCTATATGCCCTTATCGAAATGGTTGTTCTTCGCAATGACTTCGTTAACGTTGCTCAATAGCGCGGTAAGAATACAGCTAAAATATATTGGTTGCGAATCGCCTCTTCTAGGCCAATCCAACTATTTATCTCGCGTTCAATAAAAATCTTCGCCGAAGATTGCTTGTTTTACTACGTGGGAAAAATCCACAATCTTCTATCGTGACCAGCACAGCGCGGCCTATCCAGACTGCGACGGTAAGTGAGAGACCGATGATCCAACAAAGTAGGCAAATACCACTTTAATTTCAGTTTTGATAGTGTCACCATATGTGGCTCGACTACTCTACTTCATAGATCTAATGTTCAAGCTCATTTCCCCGTCAGGCTTTCATTCATCGAACTGAACTTGCAAGTAGATAAACCTTTCTACGGGAATTACTTGTAATTGCATTGTCCTGTTCGATTGGCATTCATACTCGGCATACTGAAGTTCCTTGTTGTGACTTGTCAAAGGCAGTGCCTTACCAAAAATTGGATCAGGATTTCTGCATATTATATGTCATGAATCTTTTTCATTCCTACCTAATCCTAAGCGGGTTCAACCTCGCATGAAACTCCCAGGAACCCCGCTTTTTTCGACCACGAGGAAGCAATTACGAGATATGCTTTTTCACTTTAGCTTGCGCCGCAGGTTTAAACATGTCGACGAGAGGGCCTCTACCTTGAAGGGCACCTGTTAGAACACGAAAGAAAACTGTCAAGATTCAGGCAATGATTCGGACGAGCGCAGTGCCTTTAGTGGGCGAACGATCATGCCTCTCGGCCGCTAAAGGCACTGCGTCCGTCCTCTAGAGGCACGCCGCCCACCTGCTTAGCCGCCTCTCTCCGCCTGCCCGACAAAATTGAGCCGCTTACAACGTCTCAGACACTCGCGGTTGAGACCGCAGGTAAAACGGAGTTCGACTCATTGAAAACATGCGGAACACCACCGTTACGGTTGGAACGATCCGGATATTGGTCCGGGACAAAACTGCCGGAGGAATGCCGGTCGAGCAGTTGTCACCTGCGTTTGGTTCGGAATTCTCCTGCAGCACATTTTCCGGTCAAACGCAAGTGAAACACCGGTTGAATGCAGGATTTCCGAAGCGACCATGGGGCGTGATTCTAGTCGTAGGGCACTCTTGAGTATTGTTCAAATTTAAGGCATAAAATCCATACTGAGCAAACTACAGAGACTGAATCGACACAGATCTATTCATCTCAAGTTAACTCAACGACAAAACCATGACAAACGATAACAATAGTCTCAACAACGAAATCTTAACAACAAATTGTACATCGCTGAGCAAAAAGAGGAAAAGGAAAATCAGATTTCCTCAGGCTAGTCCCGGAATTCCTTCTTTTCGACTGTCGTGTCTTCTTAGGTGGTATCACTCTTTTTTTCTGACAAAGAAAGGATACTTGGTCGAAGTAGCGTTTCCATATGAGATGTATATGATCTTATAGAGCATTGAATTCTGATTGAAAATCCGCTTTTCGTATCTGCAAAGCGCTTTTGAGAGGGGAGTTTGCGAATTTTTTGAGGTAGAAATTCAATGATTGGCTAAGATAAAAATAGGTGTTAAGGTCTTTTTGGCGTTTGAAAGGATAATAACTGACATGAGTTTACTAGATAGGAGGCCTTGTTTCATAAAACGCCCTGGTAGGTAATCATGGACCCATTTGAACTCACGGACTAAGGTTCCGTATGATTTTATTGTAGCGGCGCTTTCGAAGTTTTGCATCAAAAATTTTTTAAAACTCCCATCCCAGAAGGCGCTTTGCAGATACCGAAAGTAGATTCGAACAGCCTTCCATACTGTATTGAGCAGTATACATTTTGTATGGAAACGCTACTTCGACCAAGTATCCATCCCCTGTGAGATTGAAAAAGAACGAATTACATTACAGCTCTGAAAAAATAAAAGAAACTTACCTTGGGGGGCATGAGCGTAAGGAGGACTGCATCGAATTCGTATTAACGTATGTCAGCTCTGAAAACAAACGCGAACGTTAGTACCTTCCACAGGAGTTTTTTACATCCACCCGGGCGAGACCAGCGTTAGATGAAGCATGAAAAACTTACAATGCAACTGCAGCTTACAATGATGGAGAGAGGTAGAACTGCAGAGGAAGATGAAAATCTGCCATGTTTCACATGAGATTTTGGAGGTCACCTTAAATATGTTTATTTCAAAGTGAGTGGAAGATCAAATAGTGAAAAAGGCGTTTGCAGCAAGTTCATTCCTTTTCTAAAATGAGTCAGAATCCTTACTCGAATACCAAAACTGATCTTCCCAAAACGTCAAAAAGTGTAAGTATAGAGCATAGTTACAGTTTCCGGCAAATTACCGACAAGTGCCGTCTCGATCAAAAAAGCAAAATAATCGAATCGAAGTAAGAAGAATCGCTTGAACATGCCTTACATAAAGCCTGAGAATTGCAAAACGTAGTAGCAGTACTTCCACAAGGTTAGCAGTGAGCGAGCATCTTTTTCTTCTTTGACAAAGCACTGATTTCAAATGGAAAATGATATTCTACTGGGATGCAACGTCGTGAATTGCATTAGAAATGCTGAAACAAGGGTCAATAAGCGACGTAAGACATACGTGGTAAATATACGGTATGAGTGAGACGGAGGAGCCGGCTACCGCTAATGCATGAAAATGAAATTGAGCGCGACCGCCTATCGCGGATCGCGATGCGATTGAGCAAGATAATGCATGAGAGCATACGATGACCCCTCAATATCAGCTGAGACGTTCACGGATGGCAATGCTTACTAAATAAAAGAAGCTAGTTGCGGAATGCCAAGGAATGGATCCACGATGCCAGATGCGACTTTCCACTCGGCAAAAAGATCTCGGACTACAGATAAAAACGATTGGAGCTGCAGAAGGATTGATGGTGCCAGCAAGCGAACATCTATATATACTTAGTCATTGTTACTCATGCAGTTTTCACCACTTACACTTATTGCTTATGTTGCCTTTCTATTCGCTCACTCCTTGTACGTAGAAAGCCCATTGGAAAACATTCCTATCTTAAGTTTTCTAATCTCCTTTTGCACATTTCCTGCAAGTAGTCCAAAGGATACCAACATATCATTTTGGTTTGACTTATCGATATCAGTTCCAACTATTTGTTAGGGATTTTTTCACTTTTTCATGTTGATTTGCTTCATTGTTTATGTGTGTGTATAATTCAAAGAATGACGGTTTAATTACCCAAGTTTGAGGTAATAGGCATTAAACGTGTGTTGTTCGTGTGGTGGTTGGTTGGTTCATTTGGCAAGGTTGTGGCAACCTTTTTACCGCCGAAGTTAAACCCGAACGACTCACAAATCCGATCGATCGAACGATTTTGTCTTGATACACGTCGGATAATCCCGACCAATTTGCCGGTGGAGTCGGGTCAGCCAGGACAAAATTATGTCCCGAAACAAAACGAAAGTGGGCGGATCTGCTGCGGTCGTCAACCGCGAATGTCTGACGTACACAGATCTGATAGCCTGCGGCCACTGCGCTAATCGCACTTGCTTGCTAAAAACACATATTCTCTTGTTTAGTCATCAAAAAAGCATGTAAGCAAAAACATATGCACTGATAGAACAATAAAAGTATCTTTGGTAAAAGATCACATGATGTAGCAGAGCTCCAAATGAGGAATGAACAGTACAAATTACTTTAATTTCGAGCAAAACATGCAGAAATGCCTCGTTTTCAGTTCGGTCAATTTTCACTTGATCCCCAGTAGTAGTCGCAACTCGCTTCTTCATACCCTCCTCCTCTTATCCGTACCGAAACCCATCCATAACTTCTCCAGATGCTCAAACCGGATACATCTTCGCAGGTTTTTTAGATTAATTTTGCTCTATCGGATTATGGAAAGACCAGGCCAATCGAAGGAATTATGTCCGGGTACCATGCCCTTGAAGTTGGCCCGCAAAACAACGATTTTCAACGGATACCCGCCTATACCTTCTCCATATGTCCACCAATCCGGACACGTCTTCACAGGTTTTCTAGTTATCTTTGCTCTATCGGATTATGGAAAATATAGGTTAATCCAGAAGGTCATATCCGACTGTTCCCCTGAATATGGCTTGCAAAACAACGATTCCCATCCGGTACTCACCCACGACTTCTCCATATGTCCCAACCCGGATACGTCTTCAGAAGTTTTTTATTTTATTTTTGCTCTATCGGATCATGAAGAAACCAAGCCAGGGTATCGAGGGGTAAGCAATCGAGGGTATCGTATCCGCTCTTTGCACTCTTTCGGATCATAGAAAAGTTAGGCCAATCGAAGGAGTCATGCCCGGGTACCATGCCCCCGCAAAACAACGATTCCTAAACGATACTCACCCAAAACTTCTCCATATGTCCACCAATCCGGACACCTTTTCACAGGTTTTCTAGATCACTCTTGCATCTTCTGCATTCTGAGAAAATTTAGCCATGAAAGATCACTTCTACTGTCAGCTCTAATAAGGGGGTAGGGGAACGAGAGCCGCCAGTTTGGGCCGCCTCCTCGGACTGCTGGTCCTGGAACGACATACAACACTGCGAAAGGACCAGTTGGCCGCGAAAGTCGGCTCAAACTTGCGGCTTTCGTTCCCCCACCCCTAATAAGGCACCCTCGTATGCAATTTAGATAAGAAGATAATTTTTCGTAGATAAAAGATAACAGATGATTTTGAGAACAAGTCGCTGATAGCTTTATATTCACTGGTTGCTTCATTCTTTACCATACTCACGCCGTACTAGGTTAAAATCGCTGTCTCTCATGCTGAGACATGGATTCACGAGATACTATGGGTTCCACGGACCGACTTTTGAGTGGAACTAAAGAAGCTGCCAGTCGAGGCTCCGCGGACCGCGACCTGAGTGGAACTAAAGAAGCTGTCAATCGAGACTCTGCAGAGCCACTCCTGAGCGGAACCAAAGTTAGTCGGGATTCCGCGGACCGACTCTTGACTGGAACTAAGGAAGATGTCAGTCACTAACTACGACTTTTGAGGCTATTTCAAATTTAACACTCTTTGTTTTGACTCCAGGTCAAATCAGGCGAAAAAACCGATAATCAAACCCATGTAAAGCGAAAGGTATATAACTCAAAGGGTGAGTTTACTGTCAGTGATTACACTTTACCAAATACTAAATTTATCCATCTGGGTACTGGTGTAGTCCAGGGCTAGATGGATCCAAAGCTCGACTCACAATCAGAACACGCCCCCAACTTGCTCCTCCTAAAGCAGACCTCTTTTTTCCACGAAGTTGGTGCCATAAGCTCTTACAGATAGGGATCATTTCGCATTGTTGCTAACAAGCTTCTCAAGTTTACAAAGCACATCTTTTCGATCGTCTAGAATATCTCTCAAACTACATTAACTGCTTAGAAACAACAACGGTCACACTTTGCACAAGATTGTATCATATCGTCGATGCTGGCGTGCTATTCTACAAACTTGGAAGTTGCGCTGGAAAATATCCTCGATTATTCCTTTTGCTTTCGGTAAGCATGTAATTTTAGGGTATATACTTTAGTAATCAAACGAAAATTATTTATTTATACTTCTTGCGAATCTTAAGCTGACCGAGTAATTCTTCTTCTAGATGCTATTATCACTGACTACGCTGGGTACGATGAGGATATCTCTACGAGACAGCATACGAGAAGGATACACAGCCTTGAATGCAAGATCACGTCACGAGGCTGAAGTTATGCGGCAGTTTTCTGGAGGCTCTAGTGAGTAATCTCTGGTTTGCTCAGCAGCGGCAAAAGTCCATGCTAAAACAAGTGTAAGCGGAAACTCAGACAAAAGGTATACCTCCGGCGGGCAAATGGAGCGAGTCTGCCACTTCGCGCTTTGGAGCGCTCTGGAGCCCTGCCATTTCACCCATTTTGGTACTCCGGGGCTCTCCCAAATCTGGCGCACCTCCGGAGCAGAGAATTGCGCGTCCCGGAGAGGGGTCCCATTCGTTCACCGTACGTCACCGTGACGTCACGGTGACATCAAGCAGGCGGGGCGAATGGGACCCCTCTCCGAGACGCGCAAATCTCTGCTCCGGAGGTGCGCCAGATTTGGGAGAGCCCCGGAGCACCAAAATGGGTGAAATGGCAGGGCTCCGGAGCGCTCTAGAGCGCGAAGTGGCAGACTCGCGCCATTTGTCCGCCGGAGGTATCTCTTCGACTGTCCAGTTGGAGGAGCCCCGGAGCACCAAAATGGGAGAAATGGGAGGGCTCCGGAGTACGAAGTGGCAGATCCTCTCCATTGGCCCTCCGGAAGTATCCCTTCGACTGTCTGAGTTGGACTTCTCGGATATTGAATGGAAGGCCTTTGCCAGCTTTTGCTCCAGCGTCATCTCATAAGGTTCTCATCGTCGAGAACTCAGCTCTAAATCCTCACTCCAACCGCACTCCATCGGAACGTACACGTACCAATCAGTTTCTCGGGATACGATCTGAGCGTGAGATGGGGCAATGTCTTAGTTGAGCAGATGCGAGACTTATTCGTTCCAAGGCAGTGTCTCACCAAAATTGAGGTAGTACAGGTCTCCCATATACTCTGTTAGAGGCGCCGTGGCTAAGCCATTGCTCAAGTCCGACTCGATTTGGCCTAGCCTGTCCCAAGAAAATCCCAAGTGTTCCGCAAAGAGCGATTTGGCCAGCGCTGGTGTCGCCGATTTCGTATTCCAACACATCTTTCCAAGCCTGCGCGCAGGCTATATAAAAGCACATTTCGTTCAAGTTGCCTCCGTGGCGCGCCAAAAAACGAGTTTTTGGGGAAATTTGGTCCAACTCAAATTCGAGAGGGTTACACAAAGTCAAGAAAGCTTGTAATGTGAAAAAATTCCGACATCCAGATTTTGGTTTTTCATTTCTGCCTTTACCGCTTTGCCGCTTGATCAACTTCGCTACTTAATCACTCCGCCAAAATCAGTGCTTGAGTAATCAGCTTGGCCAAAATCATGGACCAATCAGCGAAGCGGATGAAGTGGCTAAGCGGCTAAGACAATAAGTGGCACCCGTCTAGTCAGTTCTTTCAAATCAGTCCAAATCATAAAGCATACATCTAAATAGTTTTACTGGTGTGTGCGACGTAACAAAGTTTTATTCAGCTGCTCCTATGATAATATATGTTCTATTGCTGGCAAAAGACGGAGGTTCGATGCACAGAAAACAATATTTAGACGAAGCAGAGCAGATTGTCAACATCATCTATAACTTGACAGTAGAAAAGAATGATAGAAAAATCGTATTTGGCAAGATATGCGAGCCTTATTGTGAGAGTAACACACAATTGTTCAAAACTTTCAAGGTGCATTTACGGGAGTCTCAAAAATGTGCACACTGTTTGATCGCTGATACCTCTCTACTTCTGATGTCTTTCGCCGTTTGCAAGGTGCCATTCTGTAGAGCTAACTTCTTAGATTCACCGTATGGATCGGATCAGGGCCCGGCGGGGGTGGCGATTTCACAAGCTGGTTATCGTTTTTGGCCCGAAAAAGCAAAGGGGAAGTCGTATTTTGGGGTCCGGGGCGGAGCCCCGGACCCTAAAATACGACTTCCCCTTTGTTGACCGATAAACAATGCACATATTATTCATTATTCATCATTCCTTGTTGATGCTACTGTCCTATGAACTTAGATTCCAGCAATGTGAAGATTCTGTGCTCCCATCGCTAGCCTGCCCGCAGGCGGGAATTCCGCAATTCTTGTAAGAGGAAAATAACAAAATAAGTTCGTTTTCAATGCACAAGTAATGATATGGCACCAAATTTGCTGTGTAGTTGGAGGACCATGAGCACAAAAAAAGTATGAAGAATTATGAGAAACTTATGTGAATTTAAAAAATGGTAAGCGTTTTTCGAAATTAGGTGGCTCCCGCGCCACCTGGGAGCCACCTGGGGTGGCTCCCTGCTTCCCTTCACATAATTTCCCGGATTTCTTTACATAAATGTGGACTAGGTCGAGAGTATTACTATATGTTCAAATCCTCTTCCAAAGCCACCAAGGCACCGCTTCGATACAGCCCCAAATAGGGTTCACAGCGTTATGATCGGCCTCGAAAAGCGCGCTCCAATCGCAATCGGTTATTGTAAATTGTAAAGTTTCGCAGCTGACTAATAAATGAGTACCCTAATTTCCGGGGTATAAGGCGCACCTTGTATAAGGCGCACCCGCCGCAGCGAACAATAGCGCGAAAACGCTTTTCAAATGATTGCTTTCTAAATCTACAAAGCTGAAAACTTAGTGTGCTGTGGTTATACTTCACTGCCCATAAATCATGCCTTCAGGTACTTTTTTTTTACTATTCTCATGACTTTTTTTTACTCTTTTCAAAATGTGTGTATACTTTAAAATCGTTTCTACAGGTGAGTGAAAGGTGTTCTTAATGGTGTTTATGGTGTTTAGATGATTCTTTCTTTTGATTCCAATGTTACTGGTGCTATTTCTGAATTCTTTCATTTCCAGTAGTGCTCCTGGTAGTGAAACTGTGCTTTCCTTTACAGCAGTAATACTACTGGTATTTTGAAGGTGCTGTTTTTGCTTTATTCTTGTCATTTTTGAAGAATAAAGGAGGAAAGATTTGTTCTGAAACAAATTACTATTGAGAGGAAAATTGAGACCAAAGAACGGGAGCAAAAGCCACTGGTGAAGGAGGTTGCTGCGGCGCCGCGCATCATGAGCGTCATCATACATCGGTCCGCGCGCGGCGAAAGCTACTGCGCCTTATACCCCGGAAATTAGGGTAGTATCTTAGATATATAAACGTCAAAGTTTGTGCAAATCTTGACCCTATGTTTTTTTTTATAGATTCCTTTGCGGATGAACCCATTAAGCTGAAACCTTGATGACCCGGGCTGGACCAGGAAAGTCAGGTAGTACTACTATAATAAGCGCTGAGGCCGCCCATCTTATTATTTGTGTATATCTGTTTGTCAGGGACTTACGGGGGTCAAAAATAGGGTCAAAGGGGAAGTCGTAAGAAATTTTGGCTTCAAAGGGGACATCGTTTTCAAAATTCTGAAATGCCACCTCTTGCCGGGCCCTGGATCGGATTACTGAACGCTCTCTTCGCTTCTGTGGGGATAAAGATTCCAGCATATAACGCCGCTGTGAGATACGCCGCGTAAAAACTCCACAAAAAATCCTAAAATAGTACCAATTCGCTCATACTACTTTCACTTTACCGTCCTCTTCATTGTTGAAACTTTTCATCGGCGTAATCATTTTGAAAAAACTCAGAAAAGTTGTACGCTCCATCTTGCATAACTTCAAAATTATAATGGTAAAGTGCGATTTTTACGTTCAGAGCCAGCGACTCTGATCGCCTAACAAGAACTTTTAGCTTATTTCTCCATTAGGGGAAAAGGGGGCCCCTAATGGGTCAGAACCCTCTCCCAGTTCCCTACCAGTATTATATTTATCTTTATCTTCACCTATTACCTCGAGGTGCACCAAAAATAACAATTGTGAATAAAATCACATATCAACTATTCACACTACATATGAAAAACGCTTGATAAATAAGAGTGTATGTGCACTCAAAAACCTTAGACCCATTCAGCAGTAAAAGACAGAACAGATTTAATGCTACACGAGGAATATAAGTATCTCGAACTTATCAAAAGCTCTGATCTGGAGCATTCTGCGAAATTGATGCTACACTAATAAAGAATGATCAGTGAATCGCTCCATACTAACTAAGTCAGCTCTCAGCTCTACATAATGGTGCCCAAAAATCATCGAGAGGCATAAGCATAAGCGGCGACGTCATTAACGCCACTTAGTGTGTACATTTTCTCGACATTAACTTGTGTAATTGAATTTTATTCCAGCAATATTTTGATGATAACTATGAATCAGCCTTGAGAAACCATTACTACAGTGAACTATACAATCTCTCCTATCCGATTGGAAAATTATGGATATATCGCCTTCCACTTGAAATGACTCTCCATGGAGTAAAACTTGTCACAGCCAGCGTAGATAACGACAATAACACTAAGGGAAGACGGGTGAGTTTTCGTAACTTCGTTGGATTACACCCTTGCTCAGACAATCGCCGGGGCAGGCGGGCACCGGAAAAATAGATTGCTGATTTCTCGCACCCCGCTCGCGGATTTTTTGAAAGCAATCAGGACTTTTCGGGAGACCGCTTGCTGAGTCAGCGGGTTTTTGAGAGACCGCCTGTTGAATTTTTTTCGCTCTTATCTTTTGCAGATATATTGCTGAATCTCTGAGGAGTCGAGAATTCAGCAAGCGGTCTTCCTAAAAGTCCTGATTGTTTTCCAAAAAATCCGCGAGCGGGTGCGAGAAATCAGCAATATATTTTTCCGGTGCCCGCCTGCCCCCGGCGATTGGCTGAATGGTATCCTCGATTTCGCAGAAGGGATTCTTCGGAGATTATATCCTAATAAATCCAAATGCAACCATAGAAAATCAAATCACGAACATGGAACATGTTTCGGTAAAGTCTATTCATATTCACATTCCCCCATCAAATTGAGAATCACAGATTATTTACCTGCAAATCCATGGTCTGAAGAACACATCATCTCGGGCTAGGGACCTCTCTACGTGGGAGCTTGGCCTATACGAGTGGAGTAAAAATTATAACCAGGGCGACTCCCTAGTCAAAGTTCTTGTAAGTCTCAGAAAACACCCACTATCCTGAACCTCAGCTTGGAGGCGTGAAACAAGCTAGTGCAAGAAACGCAGGTTTTTAGTTGCTCGGAAACGAGGTTTTGGATGTCGAGATTCTTGCTGCGCATACGAAATTGGCACCTTATTTTGGAGCAGGTAAGTTATGTCCTTTTGAAAAACTTTTCTATATATTATATTAGGTCGTTCCGAAAGTAATGTCGCTTTTTTTAATTGAACGCTACATTTCGTGAAAGCAAGGTTTCTAGGAGATCTTGGTAGCATTCGATGCAGCATTTCATCCTCTTTCCAATGGCTATAATTTCACTGCAGAATACTCGATGAGCTTTTGAAAAATTGCTAAAATCTCCAACCCATGCTTTTTGGGAAGGTCAAGTTTCACAATTTTTCTAATTTTTTGTAATAACTCCCGGAAGGAGTCCAAGTGGTGGATGGATAGAGCAAACCCTTTGAAAGACGGTGTTATTTTTTTCTGCTCTCCGTATCTCGTCATAATTTTTGTAGAGATTTTTCAATGAAGTCACCGAATTTTTGCAGGCTTGTCTCAAACACATATGCATCAAACACCAATAAACTTTCGGATTCTGAGACTTAAAAAGGTGGATTATGGTTTAACACTAATTCTACAAAGCATATGAGCATTTACCGCTTCAGATTAGCAACTTTCGGAAATTTTGGGTACAGCCTGGGGCGCCCTGGAAAACCTGAATTATGATGATTTATCCCGGAAAACTTGGTGACTCGGAAACTAAAAACAACTGGTAGAAAGGGGAGAAAAAGCTGCGTCTAATGACACTCGAGTTGCTTGCCGATTGTTATTCTGTGAGATCTGAGTTGACCAAATATGGAATTTGATAGCACTGAAAAAGTGGTTCTACAAACTCCAAGAAGCAAACTGAGGAAAAGAAAAAAATTGTTTTGTGTCCTATAGGGTTTGCTCTATTTATCTGTTACTTGTGCATCTTCGGGGAATCAGTACAAAAATATAGAAAAATAGCCGAACTTGACCATGACAAAAAGCATATGTCGCAGGTTTTAGTAATTTTTTGAGAGCTCATTGAATATTATGCAATGGGATTACAATCAGTAGAAAGAGGACGAAATTCTGCATCGACTGATCCCAAGAGCTCTTGAAAGTCTTGGTTCCACGAAATGTGGCGCTCATTTGAAAAAAGCGACATTACTTTCGGAACGACCTAATACATAAACCAGAAGATCTGTGTGTGCATAGTTAACTGTATGATTTTATAGACTCCATTCTGCGGAACCAACTAACAAGGGAATGGTTGGAAGTCGAAGTGGCCAATCCGTACAAGCTGCATACCATTAGATGCAGCATAAAATGCTGACTCTAAATCTGTCTACCTTATCTGCAGAACGCTTTTGTGGAGGAAATTATAAGCCGTTGAATACCATTATTTTGCTAAGAAATAGTGCGTGTAAAGTGCAAACTTGGCTGTACAAAGCCATTCTTGGCTCAGTGTTGGACCAAAACATGCAACTAGGTCACCTCATATGACCCATGCCTAGAGATGAGCTGAAAGAGCAATAATGTGCCCAATTTGGCAGTTTTTGTATACGATTTTTTCGCGTTAAAGCTGCTCATAACTTCGCCTACAAAGGCGCTCTGCAGATATGGAAGACAGATTTGAAATCAGCATCCTAAACTGCATCGAGTGGTATGCAGCTTGTATGGATTGGCCACTTCGACTTCTGACCATTCCCTTGTAAGCTGAAAATCTGACATATGATTTCCAACCCATAGATCGTAGGCCACCCCTTTTGCGCCAATCAGCCGGATCTTCTGTCAACTATTAATATTCAACATTTTATAAAAGTTGCATTATTATTGAGCGCTCGTAAACAAGTTTCCCACTTTATGTAAACCTTGACGGTAGAACCCATGTCCATTTGGCGGCGAGGAGGATGCGGGAACTCGTTTCGTTATGTAGCAGATGGCCTACTTCAATGCACGAGCCTCTCTCTCCTTATTATGACCTCCCCTGCATAGGTTCCAGCGCGAACGGTAGAGTTAGGGTGAGCGAAGTCATGTCCGGCGGTCACGTGCAGAGGATATGGGGAAGGATTTCCAGCCGTGAATGAATCATTTGCGCTGCCGCTTGGACAGTGTATTAATTATTATGGTCCCCTCATCAGCGTCCAAACGAGAAACCCAAGAAATTTGCCTAGACACTGCCTTCAATGATGAAGAGTCGTTGCGTGCAAATCGCGTGAGGCGCGCCTATGTCTCAAGGCATACCTCACGCGATTTCAGTCGCTGCGCGATTCATCACACAACTACTCTTCGCCATAGGGAGTAGAAGCGCTTTGCTGGGTCAAAGCTTGTTGCGTTTGTGATAGTAGCAAGCTACGCGCCTACGCATATAAGAACTGCGCACGGTGGATCCTAAAGATCTGGCAAAATGCCAAGCCACGCAAATTCAATGATTTGATGGAATCGCTGGAGCCTGCCTGCCTTGGGCCTAAGGAAAGTCTTTTCATCGCAATCTTTGCGTAAGGTGTGATAGACGGAAATGTGCTCTTGCAACTGCACCCCTGCTGTAGGACTTCCTAAGTACTTCTGCGGGCTCCATGTCAGGAGTCACGCCGCGCGCCGCGCCGCTTCGCCGCGAACGTCGCGTCTAAATTTTGTACCCCGCAAAACTGCCCGGTGCCAAAGTGGCACGGCGCCAGTCTAGGGGGGTGGGGGGTGGGGGCAGATACATGGCTCGTGTCATAAGTAAGACTGCGCCAGGAGTGCTGGCTTCTGTTTTGCTGACAACGCTTGCGGCATCGCTTCGCGAAAAATTCGCGCCGACCGTGACTCCTGACCGTTCCCCCTTCTGCGCGCAAAGCAACTGCGGTCGCACCTACAATTTGATCCGAGGATATATCTTAGTTTGGAAGTTTCTGTATCTCCGAAACTAAGCTAGTAATAAACTGTTTTCGCTTGACTACCCACTAGTAGCTCGAGATTCTCATAATAATTCAGGATCCTCTTCCATGTTTACATTTGTTGCTTTTTGCGTCTTTACAACCGCATACTACTATGGGGCACTTGACTTTGGAAAAATGTAAGTAGGATGTTGCATTATTTGAGGCTTGTAGAACTCAAACTCAACGGCAGACTTATTGGGATCGGAGCAGCGATATGTCCACTTCTGGCAATAACTTCAACATTCGGCTTCGTTGCATTAGTGGGCACAAGAATCAATTCTTTTTTATTTGTTATGCCGTTCCTGATCTTCGGTGTTGGTATGTAGATCTCATTCAGAATTAAAAACGAAAGTTTGTTATTGAAGGGATAGATGCAGCTTTTCTCATGGTGAGCTCATGGCAGAAACTCACGAAGAGAAGGTATACAAGTTCACAAAGACTAGGTGAACGAGAGATCTAGAAGTTTCGCTTTTCCTACCTTACGAAAAAATTCCACTAATGTTCTTGCAGCTTTGACCTACGAAAAAGCCGCTCCTAGCGTCGCTGTCACCTCCGTTACAAATGTTGTGTCCTTTGCAGTTGGAGCTATCACACCCACACCTGGTCCTTTAGATCGAAATTAGAATTTGTTGTTCAATTCTATATTCAGACATCCGAATTTTTTGCTTCGGAACATCTGTAGCAATGGGTTTGACATTTGTGTATCAACTAATCTTACTCGGGCCTATGCTATCTTTAGCTGATCCATGTGAGCAACAGCGATATACGAGAGAATTAACGAATCAAAGAAATTGTGAGAAGGTGAGAAATGGCCGTTGGTTCATAACTGCTTGTAGATCACTTTCTGAGGGCCGCATGCATTAGCATCTCCGCTAAAGAGGGAAACGCAGTTCCAAAGAAAGCTTCATGTCTTGATGCTCCAATAATGTGGAATTGCGGTCTAACTATCCGCAAATGTCTCTACTACCCTTTATTATAAACATGTTGAGCAGGAGCGAGAATTAGGTAGAGATGGGATGCCGATAGGGGAGGTCTGACGTGGACATCTGCAACAATCGCGCGCTTCTCTCCATCAAAGCTCGTGGTAGCAGTCCGCGGGGTGGAGACTACTAGCGAGCTCTTCTCCTCTATCCGCGAGAAGTTGTACGAGCTGCATTTTGCAGTTTTTTGATCCGCTGATGATCCTCAGATCTTCAGGGGATCATACAAAAAGCTGTATAGTATAGGTATATGTATAGGTTGTATAGGTTCTCGTTCCTCAAATGTTTGTTATAAAAAGGTAGCAGAAATAATTGCGGATGACTATATTGCGTAAAGTTCAGAAGACTGGAACTTCAGGGTCTAAGCTTTCTTCTGAGCTGCGTCCCCTTAGCAAGGGACATACCTCACGCGATTTCCGCCGCCACGCGATCTGGCAATTTGCCAGATGTCTTCAAAATCAATACTGGTAGACCCTAAAAGCACAGCATGTATAACTTTCGTAGGTTGATAAAATGCCCCACCTTCCGTACATTCAGAAACCCCTACGATGAGTTATGAACATTTGGAGTATTGCCAAATTGCGTGGCGACTGAAATCGCGTGAAGTATGCCCAAGGCCTTATGCGGCGAAAAGCCCGTACATGAACATCCCTGCGACGAGGGAAAAGACGACGGCGATGATGAACTCAGATAATCGCCGGGGGCAGGCGATCCGCAAACTCGCGCTTTTCTGCAGGCGGTCAGCAGAATTTTGGGGCATGGCCCAACCTTCAGCGAGCGGCACTTCCTTTACGGTCGCATATTCTGCCAGCGGGCAGCAATACAGCATATTCTGCAAGCGCTCGGCAAATAATTTCTTTCAACGAGCGCTGGCTAAACTTTCGTCAAGCGGTAGGACTCTTTTAACGCAGTTTCGGGCATACGCCGACTAAAGATGAGACTCTATGTGGCAGAGGTACCACCGTTGGTTTAATTACTCAAGTTTGAGGTACTTTCTCTCAGCGGAAAGTACCTGGGAGCTGCGCGGTCCTCCACAAAGGACCGTGCGGCCCTCAAAAATTTTGCATATTCTCGCGGAAAATCTGCGAGAATGCGGCCATTGCGCCGCAGCTAATTTATAAGAAAACCGGGATTTTCTTCAAGCATTCGTCTAAAATTTCGCTAAAATTCTTTCAAATATCTGCAAGCGGACCGCAAAAAATCAGCGAACTATTTTTCCGGTGCCCGCCCGCCCATAAATCGCATGGCCGCCTGCCCCCGGCGATTATCTGAGAAGATGCCGCAGCGGCTTCCGCTCGCCGCTCCTTTATAAGGGGGTCACCGCTGCGGCAGCTCATATCATCACATTTCCTCACAAATGAACCACACTGAAAGCCGTTTAAGCAATGGCTGGTTCGAGACTCCTAGGCAATACGCTCGGACAATGTTTTTCAACATTGTGATAGCTCAAAACTTTTTGTAAAATTCAATTGTTCTAGATCAAAACTATGTCACAAGCTCTTCTACATGCATATTCCTCGACTATGAAAAACAGGTGCATCGATGTCACAATTGTGACTATCACTTTCTTTTATTGGGCTTTGTGCATCAGCGGTGTTGTTGAACTGAGGAGTAAACTAGATGCGACAAAAATTTTACCAAAGGATTCATTGCTGCATGAAGCGAACACACTAATGAGTGACATAGGTAAACCCAAAATTTTGATTTCTTTCCTGAAATTTGCTAGAGATAGACTTGTATAGTGTGGACGGAGGTTTTCATTGGAACATTTTTTGTCAATTCTCCTTTTGATATCACCAATGAAGAGACAACAACTCAATTCTGGAACATGTTGCAGGAACTAGAAGAATTGCCAAGATGCAGAGGTAAGAAATCTTGAGATAGGATGCATTTTTGTGACTGCGAAATATAGCAATTTAGGCTACAAATCTTCTTACGTTTGGTTTAGAGATTTCGTTGAATACTCTAATGGAACTAAAGAAATTTACCCTTATGGAGTGAGTAGTATCATCTCTCCACTGTCGATGACAAATATGTCCTATATACGTTAAACCGATGCTAAAGGAGTTTTGAGCCAAAGGGAGAAAGAGGAATCGGGGAAAGTCCCTTACATAAAAATAGCAAATTGCACCGTCGATTTGCGAAGAGATGTATGTTACTGAGAGCAGCTAATCCTTGATTGAACTGCCTTGGCTTCGGGAAGGTGGAGCTTTGTGAACACAATTAAGCCCGCTCGCACCCATGGCGCACCTGCTTCTCTCTCGCGCGAGTGCTCTCTGATCATTACCTAGCCTTAATCAGGTCACGAAGCCCCGCTTTCTCGAAGCCAAGCCAGTTGAATCAAATGGTACAAACTCTGGTTACAAATTGCAATTCTCATTTGCTGAGCGATTCTCTATAACAAAACAAAAGCGTTGAAAGTTAGAAATTTTTGAGGGCTCAGGGGTGATTTGCTATGAAATAGAATGAGAGGATTGAAGTGGTGTTGAGTATACCAGACATAGAAGGAAACAAACTCTGTCATGTTTCGAGCGCTTGTGAAGGGACAATTTGGTGCTCTTCCCTATCGGAATGGTTGTGCTAATACACCAAACGCGAGGCGTACTCTTGCTCCTGATAATTTAACTGAGTAGACTCGTAAGCCATGTGGTTCCGGATTGTCCACATATTGTTAAGGATTTGCCTTGTATGTCTCTGTATCAGTCGCTTTGCCATTTTGTTCTTCTTACAGCTAGTCACACTTCCTCTTCCGTGACTGCTGGTGCTGGTCCTTCTATGAAACTGACTTCTGGGGTGGAGTTGACGGTGCAGCCTGTGGTGGCAGTCTTTTTGAAGTAGGTTCTCTATCCTTCAGTGATGTTCTCTGGTTTCTTAGCGTCTACCAAGTTCTTAGTCTCTGATATGGAAGAAGTGTTCCAATCACTTGTGGAGTCCGCTCTTCTTCTTGCTATCCGGTATATCTCACGTTCTCCCACGCGAGACTCTAATTGCTCGTGTAGATCTTTCATATACGCCTGTTTTGCTCTCACAGAAGTCTTCGCAGATTTGCTGGTATGACTGAGATCACCCTCCGCTTTTGTCTTATGCCATCGTCCGTACGCCACAACGTCTCTCAATTGATTTGATCCCTCTATTGCCTGGCTTTGTACTTCCCAGGGTCATGTATGCCACTTAATGGACTCGATCCTTCAAGCTTGCCCAGAATGGCTTTGAGTTCTCTTGCAGGCTTGGTAGTATTGTTCGCAGTGTTTGCTTCGCCACTCCACTGGTCTTCAATCTCCAATAACTGATGCGTCTTCTGGGCTTTATGGCTCTCTTGATGTGTTTATCTATCAATATTCTTATGTCGAAAAGCAGTGGTTTATGTTGAAATATGCAGCTCTCACCGTGGACGAATTTGCGGTCCTTTACGTTTCTGTCACGTTTCGTCGAATAGCCCAGAAGTCTATCTGTCTTAGTCGATCGACACTCGTATATGTAATTTGGTGTCATTTTTCGTGATGTAGTTTGTCTTCACCAACAAGGCCAAGAGCTGAAGAAGTTCCAAAATACGCTCACCTTCTTCATTGCATGTTTCATATGCATGACATCCGTCACATTTTCCGGCTCCTTCTCGCCTTTACCGCATCTCCGCTGAGATACGCTCCTAGGAGTGTCTCATCTAGTGGAATTCCATTTTGTCAACAAGCGCCTGCCAGAACGAGTTCTTTTCGTCATCCGTACATCCATGTAGTGCAAAAGTGGTGATTACTCGTAGGACTTACGCGCTCAACGTCAATCATATCGTTCATTAGAGTGTCCGAGGCAGCTATACCATTTTCGTTTCTGGCGTGCGTGGCCGTTTCAGAGAAGCTTACATCCATCTTCAATGTCACTTGATTTCGCCCCGCTCCACTTCGTTTTCAGTATGGCAACATCAACTTGCCCCTTTCAAAAGATCTGTTAACTCTCGAGAACGAGAGGTGAGTGTACACTTATTAATATGTGGTTGGTGGTCAGACGGAGAGTGTGTGATGCCTTGGATTGCCTCTGGTAAACTAGCCCCTTTAGCCGTTCCCGTTCACCTTGCTGAGATGGTAACCCTCGTATACTATTCGCATTTGCTGTTCTCGAATGCGCGTCGCTTTCGAGCATAGGGAGACTCTTGGCCTTTATTCGAGTTATTTTATGAGGCATGTGTGAAGATGGCGGCGGGGGTTTCAACCAACTTCCCACATGATCTTCTTTGGAAGAGCATCCTGGCGCTGGAATTTTGAGCAGAATTTTTGCCGCAGAAGTTAGGCTCAGGGTGGAAACGCCCCGTGATCATTGGAACAGTAATATTACGTAAAGCATCGACCATTTGATTAACTATGTTCTGGTTTACAAATAATAGTAAAGTCCTTATACAAACGTTGTATTTCGAGTAAAATTACAAAATCACGGTCAGGCTCGCATCAAACCCAAGGACCTGAAATATTTCTTGAGTAACAATCGGTACCATTTCGAGAAGTCAGTGCGATTATCTAAGAACTCGTAAGTAATTCGTTTAATCAGCCCCATAAATCATTACAGTGAAGCAAAGTAGACAGCATTCAGAAATTCGACTGTCAATAAATTCTTCTTCACTGTTGCTTATACAAATATCTCAGACTGGTCAATACGTATAGATTTGATGATCAAATGGAGAGAGATTGTCGACAGGCAAGCATTTCACATGAGAGAAACGATGTGATCGAAAAACTGGAAAGAACTCTCTATGACGTAATTCGAACTCCTAGAGCTTATCTAATGCAAAAGTTTAGATATCCTCAACTAAATGTGACAGTCTACGAACACGGTGGTATGTTTGTAGATCAAATGCTAAGCTTGAAGAAAGTAACACTGCAAGTGGGTTTCGCTTCTTGCCCACATGAACTGCGACCGATTCAAAGGCTGGGTTCATACTGATCCCAAAGTACTGGAAGAGTTGCAGAACAATTAGAATAGCCCGTTTGCGGTTTTTGCGGCGCGAAATAACAATCTTTAACAGTTTTCATAAATTTCGCTCGTTTTCACCTCATTGTTATATCTCGCTTGCTCTTGTGATTGAAAAAAGTTCAGATCGGATAGGGGTACAAGAATGAGCGCTATTTCGTTTTGCGCATCAACTGAAAACTGCCACAAATTGATATGCTTCCACTCATGTACATTTCTTCGAATTCGAAGTTTTTTCATCGGAAGCGGAACAGTAATCAAGAAGGAAAGCGCAAACAGTAATAGTTGCGAAAAGAAAGGGGCTGAGCGCTCAAAAACCCAATATCATGAAAACACAAAGGAAAATTTGCGATTTTCGCAATCGTGATGGTTGGTAGTATCCGTCCTCTTTGAAGACAGCTGAAGATATCGAGGTTGCAGTGACTCTCTGACATACAAAAAGAGCGTTAACAGAAAAACGAAGGAGAAGGGGCGCGCAAAGGAAGATAGATAATTTACGCACGACATGACATAAAAAAATTAATCTTCCAATCTCGCTTGGATTTTCTAACTCTCTACATCACAAGAAGAAGCAAGATGCGATGAGACTGTATTGGGCATAGTTTACAGTTGAAACCGTTGAATAAAGTCAGAACGGTCATTTTGCGCCGCTCAAACTGCATGCGGGCGGCTGCAGTGCATGCAGCACAGTTCCAGCACAGTCTGAGAACTGTGCTGAAACTGTTCCGGAACTCCGAGATCAATATGAACCCAGCGTATAACTCACAGTGGGATGAGTGTTAACCGGACCAGATGTTATAAGAGACCAGCCAAAAACCTCCGGTCTGCTAAGGCCGTCATGTGTCAACGCAAAGGGCACACCAGTCGATCCAAAAGCGGCGTTAATAATTCTCTACTGAATGAATCCTCATATTGTTTACAGTTGCGTAGCTCGATCAAATGGTGTTGATTGGGACAGACGCTCACCAGTAGGCACTTGTGACGAAAATGATTCTTCAAATAGATTATCGCTTTTTTTGAAGGGCGAGAGGGGGGGGGGCAGCCCAAGGTGTGGCGTTTTAGGACTTCGCACGGCGCGCACACCCATTAAAGGCACTTCCCGTCAGAATGAGGGATGCCGGACTTTGTAGTGATGTCACGGTAGACCCCCTACTCAAGCGATGGCCGAAGTTCGGAGCTAGAAAGGGGGTCTAATAAGCCTGAGATTTGCCTCGAAAGGGCCAAGACGCCGCCCACACAGCTATTTTGAACTGCAAGGCCAGAATGCCTATAGCGCACGCAGTCATGACAGTTGGGTCCCATAGCAACGCTACGTCTCTAACCTTGGCGAGCTTCGGGTGCTCACGTTCTCATTCGAACCTGGGAATCCTTCAGGAAAAGCCAATTTTCGACATTTTCGAACTATGCAAGCTGCACAATCGGAATCAGCGGGACGGACAAGCCCAGGTACAGGGGGTTTTAATGTGAGTGTCACGGCCGACGTTGTTCAAATCAGCTAGGCCTTCGCAGTAACGGATGCGGTATTGTACCACGTGAGAGAACCAAGCGAGCCGGCTCGCGAGGACCTGAACCATGTCGACCGTGACACAGACTGAAAGCGCCTGTAAGCAGAAAATTTCTGCATTCAGTATTTTGCTGGAACGCTGCCTTTAAAGGCAATGCGTCGGCAGAATGAGACCCGTGGCAAAAGAAGGTCACAGGATAGGAGCCCCCGTAATGGAACCTATGGGCCAAAGTTCGGTCTTTCTCTGCCACTTCTAACTCCCGAAATTTCAAAGCGAATGCAGCGCTCATCTCCTGTCCTCTCCGAACCCGCCCACCCCATGGACGAGTGACTTCCACGGTCAGAGCGCCAGCCGCAATGCTATAAGCATGAGGTCTCGCAACGACTCTGCGTCTTCGCCATGACGGGCTCCGCGTTCACTCGTTCATGTGGTGGGCGGGTTCGGAGAAGACAGGAGATGAGCCCTTCTTTCGCTTTGAAATTTCGGGGGTTAGAAGTGGCAGAGAAAGATCGAACTTTGGCCTTAGATTCCATTATGGGGGTTCCTACCCTGTGATCTTGTTTTGCCACGGGTCCCATTCTGCCGACGCACTGCCTTTAAGAAGTCGCGCAACTCGCAACATGTACGAAATGTAACAGCTATATAAATTGAACAGATGAATTTAAACAAAATAAACAGGAAAATGAGCAATTATCATTGTTAAGTGCCTTCCTACTTTCTAGACTGCATTGCTCACATTTTTATCAATGACAGTTGTGTGCGCAATATTTATGCGAAATTTGTGTGCTGTTGCATTGGCCAGTCTTTCAATAGCTTCTATTAGTACAGGTAAGATATTTGCGCACCGCTCGTATCAAGTAAAGTGCCTTGCTCTGAGGGGTCATTGGCATAATGTCGAAGTTGAGTTTCGAACTTGATCCGATCGTAATGGCATGTATATTGATGACGATTGGAATGAGTGTGGACTATGTGGCACATGTTGCCTACCACTACCAGGTTCTTGCCTTCATCTTCTTTTCGTTACTATGTTTTTGGAAAAATTCTTTGCAGCTGCCTCTCAACAAGCGAGAGGGAGGAGAGTCCATTAGAGCCAGAACGAAAGATGGAGGAAGACTAGAGTATACCATGAACACGGTAGCGTGGCCAATGATTCAAGCTGGGTTATCCACAATCTCGTGTGTCTTGCCCCTATTATTCGTAGCGGTATGTACAATTCGATTACGCGAAAAAAAACAGTATGAGAATTTCAGACTTACTCATCAGTGGTATTCGTCACTGCTATATTACTTGTAGTATCTCTGGGACTTTTACATGGTTTAATTGTGCGTTTTCATTCAGGATCCTCGTTCAAAATAAAATAATGTTTTTTTTAGATTTTACCTGCTATTCTTCTTCTGCTGCCAGATTATCTGATCAACAACGTGTGCTGCAAGAAAGAGCATTCTTAATAGAAATCATGATTTTTCAAAACACTTACCGAATTACTCGTGATTAAAGTTGAAAATTTCAACCACCTTATTTGCAATACACAATTTTCCATAGTTACTAGCGAAAGATCGGCATATTTATGATGTATCTTTTTTATAGAATTTTCCATACATGATCATGAAGCATATGCCAGTACAGCCAAGAAACTGGAAAATCTTATGCCTAAATTGTGAAGGTTGTAGCGCTATCAACATGAATTTCAACACTGCCGATATATGAGGCCGCTGATTTGTAACTCCCTTGAAACTTCTCGGTTTCCATGCTACTCAAGATTTATGTACAAAAGTGAAACTTCTGAAAGGAAAATCTTTACTGAACGCAACAAAACAAAGTTAACTCGCTGAGCGATATTGACTTTTTTTATTTTCCGGAGCCTCTGTACATAGACATTGGAAGCTGGGACAACCTTCCAGAAAGTGGGCAAAAGGGCAAAAAATTTTTTGAGTAAATGCGTGACCTTAACCAAACACTTCAAAGAAAATTTTTTGGATAATTTCCAAAATTTTCGCGGGGCCATAGCTCCGACATGCACTAGAAACTTTTTTACAAGCCTGATTTGGTTTTAGAAAGTTTCAAAAATCATTCTAGATATTCAGAATCTCTAGTCATTTTACTTGCACATTTTCATAACTCATATACCAATCAAAAAAGATCGCGAACCCCCCCCCCCCTCTGGGTCCGCCGCTGCTAGCGAGAGCCATGTTAATTAGCAGTAATGTGACGGCCGGTCTTATGCCACTGGCGGTTCCATGAATTCCAGGAGGAAGTCAATAAAAAAACTTCCAAAAAGGAAACTTTAGTCGAAGTGGCCTTTTCAGACGACCGCACACATCTTTAAAAAGCATTAAACCATGATTCCAAATCTGTCTTCGTTTTGCTAAGCGCCTCTGGACGCCGAGTTGTGCGCGTTTTTTGGGTTGAAAATTGGAATGCGCAACTGGAACAAAATTCTCCATTATTGTTCAAATGATCTAGTGTTACTTATAAGAGCACTTCATTTGAGGATACTTTCTGCTTAACACACTTATACTAAACACTGCTCTATTTCAGCGCTGAAAGCCTGTAACCAAAATTTACCAATTGTGTGTTAGTTCTTTGCTAAAAAACACATAGTGAAAATAGTAGAAACAGCGTTCAAAGTATAGTATAATAAAACTTTCGAGAAGAGTCGAGTCCTGCGATTGGAAAAAATTCTCTTGTAATGGCGAATTCAGGTTAGCGCCATAAACTCGTAAAAGCTTTTGCTCCGAAGTCTTTTGCAGGCATGGTTATCTCAATATTTTGGTAAAACAGCTGCTTTACCTTTGAATGAAGGACATATGTTCTGATACCGCAATGTTCTCATCTCAAACAGCCTGTGAGACGATCAAGAAGTTTCAGCAACAACCGAAAGTATTTCATTCTGACGATAAGACTGGGAGGCTCGTGTACGCTCTTTACACATGTTGAAAACAAGTGTGATCGTGTGCTCGACGAGTTAAACTTGCAAAGCTCATCAGGTTTATTTGGCGCTTGAAACCAGGAAAGAACAAGTTCAAACTTGTTCAGACAATGTGGACGAAGCAATCTCTGGTTTTCTAGTCTCAATTAGATGATATTGTGGCGCGAAGGTTTCTTACCGGGTGTAGGACGATTCGCACGACCGTAATGCTTTCCACACAGGACCACCGCCGCGCGCGACACACCCTGCGGCGGCTTTTGCCTAAGCAAAACAGGGGGATGAAAGCTTTGCGGCGTGCATTACATGTTATGACAAGTCAAAATCAGGGAGACGCTCGAGACCGCCCGTGCGAAAAGACCGTTTCCCTTTCTTACCCTTCCGTAGGCAGATATGAGAAGCCTCCTGCTCCCTTTCGTCTCGCACCTACTAAATTCCCACTCAGTAAACCAAACTTTTGATACGACACATTTCGGCTACAGCGATTTGAAAAACTCAGTTTTTTGAAATAATTACTCTCCTTGAATTCTCTCGGATTCATGAAGGTTATGACAAGCGCGCTCTAGCGTTGAGCCGCCCGTATGTTCGCGCGCGAACTAATCTAATTCGAATCAGCCGGCTGGCGGCGGATTTCTCATTAGTTGTCATTTGGCCCATCTGAGGGCTGTTTTCCCATTTCTCGCTTTCTTGTGTGAGCAGTGCTTCTTCATACATCAACGCTTATTTAAATTTATCCGTATAAACTTGATGTATAGGCTATCTTCATTCCATTTCCCGTGAGTCTAAATCAGGGGAAATTTTTCGTTTTAGGCCAACCATTAGGTGTGTCGTTAGATTGGTTATATGCGCTTACTAACTTACTTGGCAGTTCAATGAAGGCTATATTCGATGCTTAACATTTGACACGATAAGCTAGAGGGACAGAGTATAAATTGGTTAAATCTGGGAAGGCCTGCAGAGAATGTGTTTTAGTTTCGAAGTAAGTTCCAGCGGGTCTTGTTTAAAACGCATAGGACCATGACATGAACCTACAGGTGTTATCATAAGAAACATCTCACCTTACTGCGAGCAGCATTCATTTCTAAGGTTTTCGGCAGAAAGAAGCAGGCAATGTTTCCGATACATCGGTTGAACTTATACAAGAAGTAGGCTGACTGCTAGATACTTTTTGCTTTCTTTCTTGTTCTTTTGAGTTCTTATTAGGACTAATAATTACGCAATTTTTACTCGAGCTAGTTTTGCCTCTCAAAGCTCTAATTTGAGAATTTTGCTCAAAATGCTGCGATGACGAAAGAAAAGGTGTGATCGTCTTGCGTTATCACATCGTGGTAAAACATCGGCCCTTGTCCTTATAATTCTGCAATTTCCAGTGTTATTGGTAGTCTGTATCCCAGGGAGAACGGGTTTCACGGCTGATGCAAAGGCTGATGGTGCTTTGATCAACATTGCTCGTCAGTGAATGTGGTTATACATCGGTCTTAGCGAGTCTAATCAGACTTTATATGTGAAATGCCGTATCGTAGCTGGTTTGAATTAGAATTTTCCTCGACTAGAGTTCGCTGGAAAATTGGGTGGGGTTCCATTTCAATGTGCAAATTATCAACATACTCAGAGAAAATGCAAACAAGATTCGCACCACCTACAGTCAAAAAACAGGGAGATGGTCAAGAGGCGCGGTTTCTCCAAATCACCAATTTGACAGCCCAATTAGGGCTAAGAAAGTCTTCAAGATCACCAGAAAATGCTCTGGCTTACTAAGACCTGTATCACTTGCTAAGCTTGAAGGCGTTTGGTGACAACTTGATTGAAATATTCACGAAAACGCCGTTGGTTGCATTTTCATTTGTTTTGACCTTCAACACTCATGTTTTGGATCTATTTCAATACAATAAGATCGAGCAGTCCATGAGACGATCATACTCTTGCTAGAAATTTGAACCGCTCCTAGAACATGATAATATACACTAAAAAGGTGCCAATGGTGTCCATCTGGCAACAAAAATCGTGTCTCTTGAGATACACCCAAGAAAAAAAGTAGACCTTATGGGATGGTCGGCACGAAAAAATAGCAAATATCTCCACCAGTTTATCATAATTTTATGAATAATGAAGTTTAGTGCGTAAATGCATGGTTTTGAATCCGCGCCATACTACAGAGGAGGGAGGAGGAGTTACGTCGCGTATGGCGACTTTCGTATATGCAGTCTTCATCGTGCTGATACTGACTGCTGCGCTCTGTTTGCTTGATTCCCGTCCACTTGGACACAGAACTTCATATAGATCATCATAATTCTTTGGAAAGTTCCTATGGATAGATTTCTACACAACATCTTAGTTAGGTTGGCATCTTCTACAGATTTCCGCTTGGAAATTTACTTGTAGTGCTCAGACTTTGCTATGCACTTGGCTAAGCATTTAGTTGTGTCCCATGCCATTAAATTTCTGATTTTACAGAAAAATGGCACTTCGTGCAACACAAGGTGAGAACATGCATGGTGCTGATTTGGACGAAGCCGCTCGCCTCAAACAGTACAAAAATGTAGCTAGACATGAGGTGAGTGTTACTCTGCTCTGATTTGTCTTCATATGTTCTACAAGACTTTTCCTTGATAGAAATCTCTCAGGATATGCGCCGTCGTCGTAATGAGTCTAGCGTTGAGATTCGAAAGCAAAAGGGTGCAGATCTGATGATGAAACGTCGAAATCAACAAACTGAAGAAGAAGAGGAAGGCGAGCTCTCGGATTTGGATCTCAAGACGGCGCCAAGTAATGCAGAATGCTTGCAAGTGATATCGTGGATCATTGCTTTGTTTTAGCAACGATTAACAAACTAACGAATGAGGATATCATTAAAATTTTGAGTCATAATCCGACTTTGGAGCAGATGAGACAATGCTTCGAAGCTCTTCGTCGCACTCTGTCGCGCTCGAAAAATCCTCCCGTTGACGATGTGATCAAATGTGGGCTTGTGAGTGCGCTGGTAGAGGCTTTGAAGGTTGAGGTATGTCAAATTATCATCCTTACTCCCGATGGCCTCAATTCTCCGTATTAGGATGATAAAGTACGATTTGAAGCAGCTTGGGCCCTTACAAACATTGTTTCGGGAACATCGGAACAAACAGTATCTGCGGTAGAGGCTGGCGCTACGCTCCCATTAGTGCAATTAACACAGAGCCCCAATCCTGGGCTGGCTGAACAAGCATTGTGGGCTGTCGCGAACATCGCTGGAGACTCAGCTCAACTTAGGGATTATGTGATACGTGAGTACATTTAGCAGTTTTCTACAAGTTATACATATATTCGACGGACCTACAATTTGGAAAAAGACGCAGAAGGGATTGGAAGCAACTCCGACGAAATGGTTAATGTGATCACTAAATTTGTAAATTACAGCTTTTTTATTGCAGAATGCAGTGGCGTTGATGCGCTGATGGCACTGGTTGATCGCCTGGATCAGCTCGATGTTTCTTGTGCGCGTACGCTTGCATGGGCCTTTTCGAATATGTGCCGACATAAGAATCCTCATGCACCTCTGCCAATACTCGAACGGCTAAGCAAAGGACTCGCCAAGCTCATTTCCCATCCAGTGAGCACCATCTCTTTGTCTTGGTGATAAACAAAAGATAACTAAGGTTGACTATTAGGGGACAGCTTTTGTTCAAAGAAGTGCAAGAATATCTTCACCATCCTCCCCTCACCCATTTTGGAGAAAGGCGCAAATAATTGAAAAGTCTCCCAAAACCTCTTGCATTTTTTAGTTTTGCATAGGCGCGGAATTCTCATTTTAAGAAGGGTGATCGTAATGACGTTTAATAGTTCATTTTTTTATGAGAGACTGTTTACTATATCAGCAGCATGTACATATTAATTATAATACTCCTAGCTCAGGAAATTTTGAAATTGAGGTTGCGGGCATTTTGAAGGCGTTCGTATATGCATTATTTGAGATTTGTCGAAATTTTCAAAATTTGATTCGTGAGTTGCAGGATAAACAAGTGAGGCAGGATGCATGTTGGGCCGTCTCTTACCTGACAGACGGACCAGACGAACAAATCACACTTGCGCAAACTAGCGGTATAGTTTGTTTTGCTTATCAAGTCTGCATGAGAATAAATAAAAAGAGATTTTCTATAGGTGTTCTACCACATGTGCTTGAATTCCTACGAGATACAGATGCGATGGTTGCTCCAGCTTTGCGTGTGCTTGGAAACATGAGTACCGGTAACGATGAACTAACACAGGTTGGTTGTTGAAGGAGTTTCGAAAATGGTTTTTCGTTTATTAGAAGTACATAACGCAAGTATTATTTCTGTTTTTGTGTTTACTTCCACACTTCAGTGCGTTGTGGATCTTAATACTCTGAACGAGATCATTCCTCTATCTGAGCGTTCGAAATCTACCACCGTTGTCAAGGAATGCTGCTGGCTAATTTCTAATATCATTGCCGGAACCAATAGCCAAATTCAAGCAGTCATCGACGCAGGAATTATGCCGTTCATTATCGAGGTTTTGAAGTCTGTAAGTTCCGAAACCGAACCAACTTCAACTTTGGAAACTTTTGCTATTTTTCATCTTCTCAATTTTTTCAGGGTGATTTCAAATGTCAATTCGAAGCTTCATGGGCCGTAGCTAATTTGGCGCAAGGAGGCACAGCTGAACAGATTCTTACTTTACTACAAGATAATGCAATCCCTGCACTATGTAGTGCATTGAAACAGAGTAATATTGATCTACTCAATAATGCTCTGGAAACGCTTTACGCTTTGCTAAATACGGTTTCTGCATGGTAGGTGCTAAGAATCTAGTTTGAAGCTTAGTTTGGTGCTCCCTGAATTATGTTATCTGATTTACAGTTGTCCCGAACGTCTGGATGAAGTGCGCGAAGCAGTAGAGGAGAATGATGGCCTTGATCATTTGGAACGTCTGCAGGAGTCAGAATCAGATAAGGTAACCGGAATGCTCTCACTCAAGATTCCAGAACACACAGATGATTTTAGGTCTACGCTACTGCCTATCGCATCATCTCGGATTACTTCAGCGACGGAGACAATGAGGAAGAACATAAACCTGGTGATGAAGAAAACCAACCGGCGCAGTATAGCTTCTAGTGCTCAATTTGTCTGTAGGCCATTTTTTGAATTGATGATAACGCTTTTCCATAAACTCTCCTTCCTTTTATCTGACACTGGTCTTTTACCTGCATGCCATAAAATTTAAAAGTTCTTGACCTATCATTGTGATCTGTTGTCATTAGACCTATTCTTCTTGTATTCTGCGCTTTTTTAGCAATAAATTTTGTGTTCGCAAATTGTGTATTTTTCGTGCAGAGGACCTTCTCGTGAAGTAATCCTGAGCAAGTGGGCTGGGATTGAAACTAAGGGTATATCGCTTACCTGCACGAGGGAAAGGGCGTCACAACATCTCTCTCCACCAATCTATCGTGTTTAACCGACTGCAGCCGGATGTCTCCTACCCAATTCAGAGTTCGAGCATTTGATGAGAAGTAGTAAAGTGTGAGCCTATTTCATGGATATTTGCTCGATGCTAACGTAGGATACTGACTAATTGAACGAATAGAATTGCCCAGACGCTAGTTTGATATGAATATATGAAGACGGCTGGCGTTAAGTGAAGTCATCGCACAGGACAGGATGGCTGTCCATTGAGCGACATTCTCCTCGAGTGGTTACAGCGTGCGTATAGATCCAAAACTTCCAGGTCTTGAATGGGTTCAACCTTATCATCAACTAGTGCTGCAATATCGAAATACTTGGCATGGGCACTTCGATCTTTTGCATCGATTACCAAATTACTACGCAGCTTAGCAGTTTGCCTTAGATTTTCTAGATGCGAATATGGACGCACTAATTTATGGTCTACTATTCAGTTACTGCTTGATTAAACAGCTAAATTCTTTAAAAGAAGTACAGCCTTCATTCTGTAAATAATAATATCAGAAAATACTAGCGATCGATGACGCGATCGCGACCACGATGTCATTCTATGGGTTCAGCCATAATTATATGTTACCCGCATTACCAGTATTACAAGTTTGCAATTATTACCGCTTTTACTGCTCTTGAATAATGAAATGACGAACTAACAGTAGTAAAAACACTAGTAACACCAACACGGGTAGCACTGGTAACACGGGTATGTATGGCCGAAGCCTATGTCAACAACTCCATAGAGGAGGAATTACACAGATCGTTTTCCATTTTGGGGCACCAGTGAAGAGCTCCAACTGAAGCGACCTTCCCGTTCTGAAATCCATCATTCGATAGCCGTATTTGGGCTATCATTTAGTCAATGGCCTTGCTATTATGTCACATCAATCTGTCCAACTTCGGGTTGGACATCCCTTCAATAAAGCATGTCTACAAAACGAAGAAATTCGAAGTTCCGATTGGTTGATGCAAACAAGAGAAATAATGCAAGAAACATGCAATGTTTATTTATAAAGACATCAAAGTTATTAAATATTTATAGAACAGACTATCACCCGCGGACAGGACATCCAACACCATTACATGTAATGAATAATCCGGCGTTTGCTCAGACAATTCACGGGAGCTTCCCGAAAACAAGCCATTTTGGCAAACTTCCCGAAGAACTCATTTAACACAGAGGTGAATGGAAGCGCAAAAATGGGAGTTTCCCGAAAACTTTGACGTCAGGAGCAACGCGGTTAGGAACTTCCCGAGGATTTCTTCGGGAAGTATCTATAAATGCGAAACTTTCCAAAAGCTTTTAAGAAAAGGGAATTTTCCGAGAGCTTCGCGGTATTTCGTAATAGCGCTACGTTCATTCTAATGACTGAAGTGTCGTAAAAAGTCACAGAGTCTTCATCAGACTTATGTAATGGTCAGTGCGATATCTGATTTAGCGCAAGTGCGGTACTTGTAGTGTTTCTTTTCCATCGTCCTCTCGTTTTATTCTGTAAATTGACTAAATTCTCTTCTTTTCATGTAGCATTATTCAAATGTATTTGCATCACTTGTCGCTAAGGGTGAAGTGACCTCTTGCTTGTTACTTTGCACATCATAATTTCCGTCCTCTGTCGCAGTGCGAGGTGTGAAGCTATGACCCTGAGCCAAAACAAGCAGATAGATGATCCGGCTATGAATTACCTTAATATATGTGCGACCATCTATTGTACAGCTCTTTGCGAGTGCGGCTGTTATGATCCACCATGTAATAAGGAAATGACTCCTTTTGACTTTACATTTACTCATGAATTTTACGTGTTTCGAAATTCTTCTAAATGTGACTTTGTGCTGTTTTATATATAAAAATGAAAACATGAATTTACGCAAGCCTTTTTCAGCGTCTGATTCTCCTTGCTTTCTTTTCTGTATTTCGTAACAGTGCACTTGCGCTATTTCGCTATACTGCTAGTCTGTCAATGTGTTATAGATGGTGAAAGTTTAGCAATTCAAATTGGAGTGTTATCTTAGGTAGTATTTAGGTTCTGGTTCCTAGTTAAGTGCTTGTAATTTCGATCTTTTCTCCTCCTACTAGTGAAGCAGTTATGTGAAGGTGCTATATGTGCGTGCGCTTCGGGATCGCACCGCGGTTTCTCGCGATTTGAGGATTCTTAAACTGCGCTTACGATTCTTTGCATATTAGATTTCTTCTTTCCTCTTTTCTAACGTGATTTTTTCAGAGCAAGGGCATTAACCGAATATAGTCGCGACGAACAAATAGTTCTAGGCTTCTACTTTGAGGGCACAAGTCGACTTTCAGGTGAGCGTGACTGCCCTTTATTTGACACTAGTTATGCTTCAACTCACTTCTATGATAATGTTTCTTTCTCTTTTTTGATTTAGCACTGCTTTTCTTACTGAAGTTGTAACCAGCAAACTTTCTCTTTTTCCACTGTGCATTGTTTTCAGTGCGCTGGCATTCACCAACAATAGACGAGACCAACAGAGAACTTTGACAGGTTTTGACTGTAGGAGGGAAGCAAAAATCGACTTTCAGGTGAGTGTGGTCGGTTCTTTACCTAACATCAATCGTAGTGTGTCGTTAGCGACAAGTTTTCTGTTTTCCTCTCTGATTTAGCACTGCTCTCTTGCTTTCTTACCGAAGCTGTGCACATTAGAGATCACTAATTAGAATATACAATAACCTTTAAGCAAGAGTAATGAAGTTGTTCAAGGATCTTTTATTCACCTCCCATCTTTCCACTTTCTTTCACCCTCTACTCTCTTCACCCACATTCCGCTTCATGCAACCTACACAGCAGTAGAGTCAAACACAAGACTGCGCTCGTCATCAATAACTTTCTACGTGTGGTCTTCAAACAGGTTGGCCATTCATGTTCATAACTTCCATAACAAATGAACATGTAAATTTAATAGAAAATCTAATTAAGTGAATATGAGTGGACTTAACCGAAATTTGTAGGCTTGTGGACCAGATCCCTCAGATATATGGAATTTTGCACATCGCACATCTAATGTATCGCGCAAGCCGGATTTACAAGATCTGCCTGAGTCTATAGTTATCACACTCAACGGTACGAAACTAGTCATATAAGAAGTTCTCATTCAAATCATTTTTTTAGATTTCATATTGGATGCGCTTAGCCTCGGCAACGAGGATTTGGAGGGATACAGATTGAATGCGACAAGAAGCTTGCGCACTAGGTGCGTTGGTGTTTCTTAAGCAGTCTTTACCTACTCAAATGATTTAGTTTCTGGATCTCCTTGGGTACATCCGATGAAGAACGCGAGAAAAAATTCAACTATCTGCTGGAGCAAAAAACTTTCTACTGCGGCCAAACCAGGACCTGTATCGCAGAAGCACTGTAAGTTTTTCAGATTCGTCTTTTACCTCTAAGTTCAGTTTTACAGCGAGTATGTCCGTTATTATCGCCTCAACCAAGGAAAATTTGTGCCTTCAAAGGTTCAAAAGTCACAGTTGTTTTCATACAAAAAATTTGTTTTCCAGACATACAAGGCTACGCAGGTCGGATTTGGTAGGGAGGCAAGGCAAGTATGACGAAGTCGGAATGGAAGAGAAAAGCGCTACACAGTAGTGGAATTTGATCCTGTCGCTGTCATGTTTGATCCTGATGCTTAATTTCTGATCCATCATAAGTGTTCTCATGTAACATCGTGCCTTTACCTCATTAGTTAAGCATTTTTTCTCATTAATCACTGCTTCAGTATTGTCCATGTTCGGCTATCCTTGAACCTTGGCATGGCTTGTCACTTGAGAGGTGTGGTTTGAGCGGTTGACCAAGATGGTACACAGTTTATTATTGTACAATGGCCTACGTTTCGGCGCTGTCGCCTTCGTCAGAGCCTGGAAGTCGGACTCATCAGAATCTATTCCCTCAGACGTCAACAAAGGACACAGGGTACTATTCGAGAAAAAACCAATGAAAACTCAGTCAGAGCAACAAGAGCAATACTAACCTTAGCCAGAAGCAAAACGGAAGTCGAGAGACCGCCGTGTATGCAAGACTCTGCCTCAGTAGAGCTGTCCTTTGTTGACGTCTGAGGGAATAGATTCTGATGAGTCCGACTTCCAGGCTCTGACGAAGGCGACAGCGCCGAAACGTAGGCCATTGTACAATAATAAACTGTGTACCATCTTGGTCAACCGCTCAAACCACACCTCTCAAGTGACAAGTCACTGCTTCGTTTACTTACTCCCCGCTCACCTCTATATTCAGTACATGCTTACTTCATATCTCACTGTCAATTTGATACTCCTTACGCATTACTCGGGCACTATTGTAACTCGATCTTTTAAGAACTTGGAGAAATCCTCCCATTCCCATCCGTCGATATGTTATATCTACTGCTATAAAAATAAATGATGGAGCATATCTGTTTTTGCGTATAACTACTACTAGTGCTCCACCCCTAATACTACACTACTCTGAGTAGCTGTACTAAGGGGGGCGGCTTTATGAAGTAAGGATTCATCATCAAGATCCGGTACAGCTACGCAGAGCCAATCTGAAGCCCTCAGGAAGTTTTGTAGATACGTTCTCGGGAGATTTCCCACTTCTTGCGAACTTCCCGAGGACTTTTTTGCAAACTTCCCGAGCGCTTCACGGGAACTTCCGCAGGTGACCCGAGGAAAGTTCCCTCACAGACCTCGGGAAGTTCCCATTGATTGTCTGAGTGGGTGTCCAAGAAGGGGATTTCCGTTCGGACCAACGTTGAAAGCGGAAGTTTGGGGCCATTGTATGTTTTGAGAGTAGATTCCAAGCATAACACTCAGCAGAAGAATTAATAGTATTCGGATGCACAGCATTTTTAGTTGCATATGTTGTTAAGAGCGGACCAAGCTTTATATACCGGGGATTAGGAGAACAATGATCACTGGAGAAAAACATGCAAGAGAAACTCGAAAATTGCAAGAGTTAATGCGTCTGCAGTCGTTAAATTCGGGTTCTGCGTTACGCAAACAACAATAAAAAGTGATCGGAGAGTTCATCGTGGTATAAGATCAAGAGACTGTTTATCAGATATCTTTAAAGATTATTGGACTTTGCATAGCAATGTTGTCTGCCACACGTCATGGAATCGCAAGCAAAAAAAAAACTGGAAACAGAAGATTTCAGAAGATTCTTTCTTTGCTCATTTTCTAGACAGATACATTTGAACTCTCAGCTTAGCACACTGATGTTATTCCTGAGTCCTAATTTCAGAGAAAATAATTGAGAAAACTCAGACTTTGTTAGGGCCTGAAGTGAGAGGGGAGTCATTTGGTATGTTGATAAGCAAATCGCTCAGGAAAGCACTTCGGTTTGAAATAAATGGCTAAGTCGTAGGTGGAGTCAATTCCAGCACCAGAGCATCAACTTCAAGCATTTATGTAAAGTTGTTGCAAGACAATGGTAGGATATCCACCATTATCCCCAGAAAAAAAAAGAGATCCTGATCACAAGGGGAGGCAACTCAAGTCACTCAAATCTGCCTTCCTTTTGCTTAGGTATTTTTATAGAGCTTTTCACTGATTTTGTGACACTTGAATGTGACAAATTTGAATATTCAAGCGCTCACAACTTCTTTCGAAGGCTTGCTCACAAAAAAGGAAAACAGATTTGGAATCAGCGTTAGCAGGCACGTCTAGTGATATAATCTCGTCGTTGGTCGCCAACCCAAGGTGGTATTTCTCCCTTATCAAGAGAACACGATCGTGAAAGCTTGCTAATCAAGTCGACTCAACAGAAGTTCAGTGTCAATATTCTGCTGCAAAGAAATCTACAAAAGAGTTTATGTTTATCAAATGAGCGCACTTATGGTTCTCCAAAAGTATTCAAAAAGGCGAGATCAAATTGTGAGGCTACAGAGGCTAGATCAACATGATAACAAGTGACAGTATCATTTGAGTGATATTCAGGCAGTGAGTGCCATAGGTCTTCGTCCGTCGTCTGTCTTCCATGTAGTTGTTAATCGTCTTCGACTTGTGGTGCGCACTAAATGAACAGACTTGAGATGTGCAAATAAAACCGTAGATCTGATTCTACGCACATAGAATTCTATGTAAACTTGCTTATGCTCGTTTTGTTCGATCATAAACTGCACAGAAAGGACGCCGCGAGAGTCACAGCGTATTGAGATCTCAAACATGAATAGAATTATCACAATAGCCAATTTTTAGAGCTACTGGACATACCTTACTAGCAATAATAAACGCTGCACTCATATGTCTTATCAAGGCAAGCGAGTATTTGTGTGTAACTGCTTCATGACACTCTAGTCGTTCGACTTGTTCAGATTGCCTCGGAAATCTCGTCTAAGAAATCTTATATATAAAGCTGAATGTCTGTTTGTATGTCTGTATGTATGTCTGTCTGTCTGTCTGTCTGTACGTATGTTCCGAATAGAAAATTCCATTTCTGAACCGATCGGGACCAAACTTAGCACACATACACTTCGGGCCCCGGCGGGTGTCACAGGCTACTTTTCGTCATCGATCGATATCGATTTTTTGCAAAATTTGAGCTACGGGGCTGGGATTTGGCACAGGGGGGTAATCGAGCATGCTGATCACCCCCGTGGGGGTGATCAGCATGCTCGATGACACCCCTGTGCCAAATTCCAGCCCCCTAGCTCAAACTTTGCAAAAAATCGATGAAATCGACATCGATCGATAACGAGAAGTGGACTGTGACACCCGCCGGGGCCCGAAGTGTATGCGTGCCAAGTTTGGTCCGGATCGGTTGAGAAATGGAATCTTCTATTCGGAACATACGGCGGAGCCGGGTAAGCCAGCTAGTTTATTATAAAAGCGGTCATTGAGATTTGGAGTTCTTGGCTTCAATGGCGGCCGTGGTAGATTATTCGTAAACTGTCGCCAAATCTGGTGATAATTGCATAGATAGGGCAACGCCCATGCTATAATTTGTGCAAAGTAGGATGGTTGAAAATATCAAATTTTATCGCAATTTCAGAAAAATCTTTTTGAGGGCGTCAGCTTGCAAAATTCTCGAAGAAACAAACTTTTTTTAAGGGGGCTTATTGAGTTGCCTCTTATTCTCGGAAGATTTGTCGTCCACCTCCAAAAACCTATCTGGGCCATGCTGTTACAAAACCAAAAAGATTTCCCAGATAATTTGATTTGCAGAATTTATAGCCGTAAAATGAATATGTAAAAAAATCTCATATCAAACGGGTATTTACACATCCACCCATGTAGATCACTTTCAAAACTGTGCGGCCCATTCACGCAAGAAGGTCCCCGCAAACAGCTACAAAGCTTTCATAAACGTATTGAAGCAACCAGACTAGCGAATGACCAGGTTGCATGTCAAGAAAAACACAATACAACCTTACCACAGCTTTTCCAATTTCTCCTTCTGTTATGAGCAGAAACTCATCGCTATTCACAGTCACTGTGACGGTAGGACTACTGGAATCGAGCTCCTGCAAAAATGAAAGTAAATGACATTAAAACTGGTTTTGAACAGAAGATTTGGGTAGACCGTTCACACTATGCAGTTGGAACGTGAACCGATGTAGCGAGAAGTATTATTAGCATACCTTGATCGCTTCTTTGATCATATATGCTTTCATGATCACCTTGAAAGTGACGTCCTCCATGTCAAAATCAAAATCAAGTACCTTAAATTGAGTTAGGAAGAGAGGAAGCGAACAAAGCAAAAGCTTACTTCTTGAGTATCTAAGGTCTGTACATTCATATCAACAACGATTCCATCTTCTTCAAGAATCAACTTCAATGGTTCACCAAATCCGTCATATGTCATCTTCAAGGTTGCACCTGAGCCGGTATGCATTCCTATGCATTCCTGAGTGCGGATTTGAAAGAAAATGGACTTATCAGCTGCAACAACGATAATGGCTAAACTCACTCACATTGATTACGTTTAGCGGAACCCGGAAAAGCACAGTTTGTTCACGTAAGTTGAAAGACGAAAATAAGTCGTTCGAGAGATAAGCGATTGCCTGCCAGATAGAACTTCAAATCACCACCCCATTAAACAAAAGCCACACCAACTTGCTCACAATGATTGTCGTCTACAATGATGCGCATCCCCTGAGGTGTCGCTTGAAATGTACCACTCTGAAATTTATAACTGATAGTTTACCATCGCAAACTACAGCTTAGTCAACAGAAAGGAGTGCAAATCCTGCCAGAAAGAGGACTCAAAATGCTTTGCAATTTCAGCATCCACACCAAGGTTTTCTAGAGGAGACTGATCGGAAATCATCGGCACCCGCCATACTTGATTTCTTCAACCCGTATTGGCCAGACCGGTAAACTGACCAATACGAAGTGTATGGTAGGTGCCAGAGTAAGCGAATATCTTGTTCAGGTTGGGACCCGCGCAGAATTGACGTAACTCACCATGCTGGCGCCAATCCAAGTGACGTCAGTTCTGCGCGGAACCCCAACCTGAACAAAATATTAGCTTACTCTGGCACCTACCTATGAAGGAGACAATGTGGATGAAGTATAGCGCGTGCTATATACGGTAAGTGAAATGAAGTAAGATAAGAATGAAATAAAAAACCTTGCAGAAGCAGGAAATTTCACTTTCATTGACAATAGACATGCACACAGACGCAAACAAAAAAGGTTTCAAGTGAAACTCACCTCACAAAACGATATTGCTTTGAGGATTCCACCCAAATCACGAACATGCGCCTTCTTCAACTCCAGTAGGTGTACCTGATCCGTTCGTGCATCCCCGCTGGCCATTTGCATTCTGTGTGGCTCGGTGCACAATTTATAAGAAGTTAGCTCAAAATTGCACTGCTGCTGCCTTGTTAAAAGCACATATTGCGATATAGGTGCACTGTACCAGATCAATCAAACTTAGACCAATGTGATGTTTTGATGATTAAAAATGTCTCTTCTATAATTTATTTAACACGAAATCACACAAGGACATACATAATGACATCATGTTCATCCAGTTAAGTGAGAAACTAACAGCACTGTCAAACATAGAAATTTGGTACCGAAAAAAAACCAGCGAAACTCAAACAAAAATCTTCAGCAAACTAGCCCTCATTACAGTATTCAAGTATGAGGTATTGTCGCACCTTGGACCTCCGCATTCAGAAGCTGATGTTCTTGGAATCGCAAGGAGACACGCTGCGTCATTTTAAGATACTTGTCGAGACAGTTCATACTGCACTTTTCTTCCTTTTCGCTGACATTTCTTGTCGTCATGTCGTTGACGCATGCCGCAAAGCATTGCTCTGTTACGTTGTTGTACTGCATAAGGAAGTCGCGGAAAGTTTTCATGTCAGTCTCTGTGGCACCAGGAGGAGCGTCCATGGCTGTAAAAGAATATTCTATGACTTCCGCCTTCAATGAACTCAACGGCATCCCGGGACGGAACAAGTTTAGCACAGATATCAATGCATCCTGAACAGTTTGCAAAATTACCATACTGGAAGAGTTAGTTTCAAAATGCATGCCAAAACAGTGTTATGTTGTCATTGTAGTTATTGTTCAGAGCGGTATAGTCGCCACTGACTCACAGCCATTTGGCGCAACTGCACAAGTTTTTGTTAATCCCAATGTTGGCTAAGCACATCGGTCTGACTTGAAACATCTTTGCTTTTTTTCTACAGCTCTTCTCTCTACTTTGAAAAAAGTTAGCCACTTAGTAATATGATGTCTGCAGTCGAAGATTTGTAAATAATTGCTTTTTTGAGAATAGAGTCGCACACAGTAAGCGAAATTTCTACCTCGTAAGCAAAATCTACTCAGGCATATAATTCTTACTTTTGTTGCGATTAGCCAACATATGCTTGCAATCATAACAAATGAAAGTTTTGTGGAAAAGGCAGTCGCCCGAATCAGATGGGATCGACGGCACAGCTATGGGTTTTTGCTAAGGTTAGAACTCCACAACTTGCATAGTACTGGCTGAATCCGGCTTCAAGGAATTATGGATAAAAAAAATTTTTTAACCCGACAACGTTCTGCACTGGATATTGAAATACTGTGTAATCGGAAAAAGATGCGGCCTCTTCAACTGAATGGAATAAAACACCCAAACTCCAGATAAGTTAGCTGTTGTGTACCAATTCTGTTTCATCACATATTATAATAGAATCTTTATTAACAAATACATAAATAATCAAATTCTAGCGCACCCTGCCAGGGAGCTAGCATGTTGAACATTCCGCAATGATTTTGGTCGAGAAGCGCATTTTGATACAAAAATCTAATTCAATAAGAGTTTACATCTACAAACCTTATGATGCAATCAATGAACTAAACAGAAGTACACCGGCAGTTAGTGATCAGACACGGATCGATAAGCAATATGAAATTCTACAATTCATAAATTGACAACACATGGCATATGAGAGTGAGGAATTTGGTGAAAGTAAGCGGAACAGTGCGTCATCAAAATGGAAAGGAAGTTTAGTCTGCATTCTCAGTGCAAAATGATAGATCTACAAGTGTAACGCCACCATGAATGGAAATATTAAGAGGACATTGACAATCTACAATATAATGGCAGATATTTCATGGAGTGCTGCACACAGAATTGAGCATAGAATAAATGAGATGTACAAACAGTAGACTGACGATTCGCTTTTCAACTCTGTGCAATCTTCTCTCGTCTTCTTGCCAAAGCAGCTTCCAAATCGCTCATATGTCGCGTTGGTGGCGTGGAAAGTATTCGCGTAGCATCGGAGCGCTTCGGAGGTGGAGGTGGTGCTTTTTTCGGCGTAGGAGTATTAGTCTGTGGTGTCGGACTGAACACTTGTTGTGGAGAGGCTGGAGGTTGATGCTTCATGGGTGACGTATTGGGAGACACTACTGACTGTCGAATTGGCTTCGGTGGCGCAGCAGGAGCAACACGGGCAGCTTCGGGCTGAAAAAATATATCACTTCCGAGAGCGGTATTAAAGAAAAAGATAAAAATGTTATGTAGCTTTACGCCAAGACAAAACATGAACTACTGCCTACTTTGTCAGAAAAGCATAAAATTCACCGCCTAATTACTAGCTACAACAAAACTCAGATTGAGACATGTTCAGATGACGAAAGGGTTCACTTTGATGGCAACTGTAGTGCAAAAATGTGCCATTTTCCATTTCTGACGGAATATCTCTAGGAATAGAATTTTTTATGATATCAAAATACTTATAGGATGAAATACCAAAGAAAATTGAAAACCAAGCAAGGAAATGATACGTAACCAAACTCCCCACTCTCAATGCCAACAAGAAGTAAATTGGAAAGTTCAATTAAAATGTACGAAACAATAAACACACAGAAATCAATGGCATTCACTCACTTGACTAGGCGTTGACGTTCGGCTAAATACTGGTGGAGGCGCAGGGAATTCTTCATCTGAATCTTCATCGTCAGGTGTCCCTGTAACAGCTAATTATAAGACAGTACGTCCACGTATCAACAAAAGCATGTAAATGAAAAGAAAGTGATGTCCTCACCAATTGACTGCGTTCCGTTTGATGATGATGAGTGACTTACTCGGCGCAGGACGTCGAGCGGAGCACGTTTGATTGTACCAGTGGGTTGTTCATCATACTGTAGTAGAATTTTATGAAAGATAAGGAGATGCTCATAGAAAACCGATCAACTCACTTCGTGGAAGATGATAGCCGTAGAATTAGCGGCGCTCATGCATCGATCATTTGATAAAGCACTCAGACGGCTATTTTGGGATGGAGAGTGCAAAGCGGAAGGCTGAAAATATTCGACAATCACAAGCAAATGTGAAATTAAAAAAAAAGAAAATTTGTGCATAAATTGAAGGAGACTCTTACCTTGCCGCCGTGGTCTGAGTAATTCGATCCAAGATCATGCCGACTGGAAGAGCACGAAGAAGAAAGACCATGCTCACGGAGGTTAACGTTGATCGGTTGCTGTGACACGGAGGAAGCAACACGTGGAGGAGGCACGCAAACTGGCTGCGTAGACAGTGCTTCTCGTCGACGCTCGCATGCCCGCACATAGTTCGTCATCAGGTCAGCGCCATTCTGAAATGACAACATAAGAAGGATGACTTGCACACATTTGAATAATATGCACTAAAAGACAGTCTCATACAATGAAATTCTCCTATGTGGAAGAACGAAAGAATAAAAAAAAATGCAATTCAATTACACATAAAATGAATTTCTTACTCACCTTGGCAATTCGTAATCCCACTAGCCATCTTCTGAATGAAGCTTCGTCATCGGCACAGATATATTTGATGTATTGCGACCGCTTCATTTGTAACGCCGTGAGCTAAATTGCGAAATTTTGCGATCTCTTTCTCTATTTTAGCATTATCGTCGGTATAGGTAGAAAACAGAATATAGAAAACTCCAACTATTATAAATCTGATAAAGGAAAATAAACGCAAGATTTTCATGTAGTGCGGAACTAACCTTAATAGCAATGCACCATTCCGTCGGTGATTTGTACTTCTTCACCCAGTTGATGCCAGTGTAAACTTGGTTTGAATGCAAGTTCATGAGACATTGTAAGTCTTTCGATGATCTGAAGACGGATCGAGATAAAAGGGTTGCACCGCAGACTATGGGGGGTGCGGAAGGCGACAATCCCCAATTTTGTGCCTATCAAAAACTCTCCGTTGTCAAAGTGACACCCCGGGGGACTACAGGGGGTGGGGGGGGGGGTGGGGGAAGATAATTACTCAATGCCACAAGTAAAAATCCGTGAAAGTCATTGAGACGGATGATACACAGCCTCCATTTTTCGTCGATTGTCGCCTTCCGCGTGCCCCCCCCCCCAGATTATGTCTAGCAGAGGATTCAACCGGTCAATGACCACCCTCAAAACTACAAAAGGCTATGCTTAAGTCTACCAGAGAAAAGAGAAGCTCAAGTCAGGCAATGCTTAGATTGTTCAAAATGCTCGAGTGGTTCCTTTGAACAAAGAGAGTTGAGGCACAATCCTAGCGCTCAAGTGGGCCGTAGCTAAGCCTCAGAGCTATGTCCCTACATGTCTATTGTACTACAAACTGTAAAAAACCAAAAATGACTTACTTCTTTCCCTTTGGAGCATAATAGAGACCGCTGGGTCTCAAAACGAAGTAATGCCTCTTCCAGCTTTTCCTTCCATCTGATTTCAGGTGCAGAAATCCTTCAAGTTCAGGAGGTGACACAGTTTCACGCGTGAAGAAGTCCTGGAAACACATAGAAAGCAATTTCTATATCTTTGATGCAAGAAGTCAAGCTAGGCACCTGCACGAACTGGGTCTTCACTTCCTTTGTCCAGTTATCTCCAGGTGGTACTTCAAGATCGGCGGTCTTCTCCGTCACGAGATAAAGTTCAGGCCGATCTACAAGCATAAATATTTATTCAGAGTCCTTTTATTAACGATGTATGTATAGCGATCGTGATCGTTATATGGCAGATCGGCACCCCCGCCCCCAGAAAAAGCAAAAGTCTTACCTATGAATGGGTATTTATCTGGACGACGGATAAAGTACAGCTTATTTGGGGAGTCTTGAACCCATAGTTGGATGTTCTCGACAAGGTTCTCATGATCTTCGTAAATTCGACCTGGAAGACAAAAATGAATGGCAACAATTATCGCAGATGACTGTAGTGACCAAGGATGTCCATCCACCCAAATGAAAGCCTTACCGTACAATTCGTGGATTCAAATGCGTTCGCCGCAAGTACTATACACCATATTGTACGCGCAAAATCACTTTTGCGTATTTTCATCCTGTCGTGAGACCAAAAAACCGCCTATGCATGCTCAAACCAGGAATCCCCCCCCCCCCCGTCCCAAGAGTGGGTGGCGCAATAGCCCGGCGGTAAAATTGCCCTAATGACTTATTCTTACTTGCAAAAGTCAGCATTTCTAAGTTACGACAAATTTGAACATCCCAAAACCAATTTTGGAAGGCGTGCTAATGCTATATCCCCTTTTCCGGGAAAAAAAAGTGTTGTAGCTGCCAGTGGCGTACCCAGGATTTCGGCTCGGGGGGGGGGGGGCGCGGCAAAAAAAATTTTTAAATGAAGGTGCGTGGCGTTAGCCACGCACTCCGAAAAAATTTTAGGGGGCTTCTCAACAATTCTGCGGGCCCCCAACGCCCCCGAAAAAAAATTTTTTATAAGGCTAATTTGAATTTTTAAAAAATTTAAAATTTTTTTTTAATTGTTTACAAAAATAAACAAGTCATTTGCACATTTTTATAACGCATGTAAGTAACTTTCAAAAATTTCGCGACCCGTTCTCGGAGGGGGGGGGTCGCGCCCCCCCCCCTCGGTACGCCACTGGTAGCTGCTGATGGGTTCTTAGATTTTATTGCTGTAGCGATTTTATGCAATCGCACTAGAGGAGTGGAAGCTACTTTTGTAATCCATCAGCTCATTGTCAGTCTAAATTACCCGTCAACCACACTTGAGCTATCAACGCGACACTACTCTGTACGTAATGCGCTTGCTATATTCTGTACAGTGTGTGTCAACGATGTGCTCCCTTTCCGATCAGCTCAAGCGCAACGCAAAACTCGTGCGAAGTTTGCAGGCGTACCGCTTAAAGGCAGCGTCCCACCAGACTGGGGGTACCTATCTGGCTTTCGTAATGATGTAATAGTAGACCCCCACCTAAGCGATGACTGAAGTTCGAAGCGAAAAAGGGGGTCTACAAAGCTTGGAATTTGCTCCGAAAGTGGGCCGAATCTTACGGTAGGCTCGGGCGAGTGCGAGGTGCATGCAAGGTAGAGGCGCAGAGTGGTTGCGGGTCCCTGCGCTCATGATGTATGCGCTATACGCACTCTGGTCCTGCAAATCGATATTGCCGTGTGGGCGGCGTCGGCCCTACCGTAAGATTCGGCCCACTTTCGGAGCAAATTTCAGGCTTGGTAGACCCCCTTTTTCGCTCCGAACTTCAGTCATCGCCTAGGTAGGGGGTCTACTATTACATCATTACGAGAGCCAGGTAGGTACCCCCAGTCTGGTGGGACGCTGCCTTTAAGCGATTGCGATTTGCCGCATCGATCGGAGATCGCCGCGCAATGCTCACGCGTTGCGGATGCGTAGTTGCTGCGGAAAGGGAGCCTGGGGTTGACACAGATTGTATGCGACAGAGTCTAAGTGTATACAAATGATATTATAGAACTCACGTATATATAGATCGGGGAACTCCTCAACAATGCAATGATCTTCGCATAAAGTAATGTGATGCTTGTCAGCAAGTTGTTGCATTGTCTGTAAGAAATCATGTATCAGTTTCAGTGAAAATAGATTCGTAAGAATTTGGCCATTGTGCACGTACAAATTGAGACAATAATCTCAATATTCAATAGTTAGATAAGCTGCTTTACACAAGCAAGAAGTTGTTTTCTTTTCGCAGAAGTATTACGCAGCCTAGTCTGCGGTGCTGACAACACTTGTGCGTAAAGAAATGGTCAAACCACATTACTAGGTTTTGCTGTAATGTTCTCTGAGCGAACCTATTAGGTCGTACCGAAAGTTCTGTCGTTTCATTTTTGAAAAGTCATAACTTTGCGCTGTCACAACGGATTTACCACCTTATATTTTTATTATAAAGAGAAAATCTTTCGCTTTCGAATGCTGTTTTGCGGAGCTCGCGATTCACACTGAACTTGGAGATAAAAATGGAAAACTAAGACCATATAAGCTTTGACCATTTTGAGTTAGCTCACCAAAAATCTGGAATGCCGCAGAAAAATCCGAAATCGTCAGTACATATGTTTTTTGGCCTACCCTTGCATCTATGAAAAGTTTGTGCCATTTGGACGTCTCTGTGAGAAGTTATGATTTTCGCTAAAATTGACGAATTAATTGATTTTGGTGTTTTCCATAGTAAATTCGATATTCATAACTTCTCACAGAGACGTTCAAACGGCACAAACTTTTCACAGATGCAAGGGTAGGCCAAAAAACATATGTACTGACGATTTCAGATTTTTCTGCAGCATTCCAGATTTTTGTTGAGCTAACTCAAAATGGTCAAAGCTTATACGGTCTTAGTTTTCCATTTTTCTCTCCGCACCCAGTGTGAAGCGCAAGCTACGCAAAACAGCATTCGAAAGCGAAGGATTTACTCTTTCTAATAAAAATATTAGGTTGATTCATAATTAAAGCACGTTTTCTATACTTCAACTTCCAACCAAGATAAATTCCTTTTTGGAAAAACATTTCTGGGCGCAATAAAAACCACTGTAACCATCAAATCAGTGGCTATAAAATAGATACTTTTGCATGACTGTATCTATTACAATAAAGAATTTCTGGCCTGAAGATTGCCAACAACTTTTTTCAGAAGCCTCTATTTTGAGAAAGCATAACTTATGTTGAAATGAAGTAGGATGAAGCAAACTTCGCTCATCGTGCAGCCAAGGGTCTCTTGAGCAGTAATGCCAAGTTTGGATTTCACGGAAAATTTCTGGAAGAAAATATCGCGAAAAAGTCAAAAGTACCCACTTTTTCTAGCATCTCGACGGGTTCAAAAATCTGTCATTTTTAAAATTATTTCATTTTTCTCCGCTGGAAAGTGAGAAAACCCTAGCGCTTTTTCACCATCAAATGAATTAGGTTTATCTTTGCTGAATAGCGCAAAAGATCTGCAATCGCCTTTTGCTTCAAAGTTTTATATGGTACGGAAGGGCCGCGACAATCATTCAAGTTCGCAATTGAATTTCTCGGCTCAAAATCCATGGAAAATTTTGTTCAAATAGAGTCTTGTAGCACAAAGCTTCCCAATCCTTATGCATATTTTTTTGAAATCAATACGACTATTCCTCATGGATTTAGGGCAAAAAGAGTGACAAGCAAAAATTTTGAGATTTAGTCTCTTTTATTTGAAGGCTCACAACTTTGGAACCAACGGAGATAAAAACGCTCTTTTAGATAGTGTAAAAAGTTTTTGAGGAAATTGTTATATCAAATACCAGCTCTTGGAAGAAAAGGTAGGAATAACGTGCATTAATTATGAATCAACCTAATATAAGGAAGTAAATCCGTTGTGACAGCGCAAAGTTATAACTTTTCAAAAATGAAACGACAGAACTTTCGGTACGACCTAAGATATTATCCCAGATTTGTGTTTATACGTGCACAAGGCCTAAAGTTTTTAGGCCAAGCCCTACATCAGCCACTGTCCATCGTTCATCGACAAGCATTTGCAGCGGAGCTCCATCTTCGACGAAAAATTTCACGAATATTCGAGTAATCTGAAAAATGTACAGGTTTACGTAAACATATGTTTTGAGGAAGCCATGAATTCCATTTCTCCTGGATTATGAGAAGGTTGATATTTCAAATTCACGCCTCCAAAAAAAATTCGTATGCGCTCTGGTCTATTTTTAAGTGCTCTTTTCACGTTTTTTCGAAGCTTTTGACTGTTGACAGCCGCACAAAAACTATATGTAGACTTTAGTAGATTCAAAATTGTGCGAGGAATAGAACTTTTGAGTTTTTTATCTGCAGGAGCTCTGTTACAATAATCGTTTTTCCATTCATGTTTACATCATAGCAGCAATCATACTGGACAGGCACCTGCACAGCAGACAGTAATCTTGTCACCGTCTATAAGATGGCCGGATTAGGATTAGTAGCTTCTGGCCGGTGTGACCTTATAAACAACACCAGAACACTATACCAATATTGAAAAAGTAATTAGGGCGATTTTGAATGGCACATTTGTAAGTAGTTTTGAACCGAAAATGGTTCAATAGAAATGCATAAATTCGATTAGCCTGGCAGAAAAGATTTATCCGAGCATCTTTTGCAGTAGTCCTCGCATTTCCTTTCAAAAGACATTTGACAAATTGCCAAATAGCGCGATCTCGCCTGCCGCGCGATTTGGCAATTTGCCAGATATCCTTTGATCCATCATGCGTGGACTCCAAAAGCAGAATATTTTATGTGTTCATGCTGTTATTTTATACGTTTTGATGTTCCTCCGGTGAGTGATAAACACTTGGAGCAGTGCCAAATTGCGCGGCGACTGGAATCGCGTGAAGTATGTTTACCAAAGCATAAGCCACTTTTCTCAAAATTTTGTGTTAGAAGGTTACAAAAATTTTAAAAAGAGACCCAAAAAAGTGGCGTACGTAAACAAAAATTCTTGTTGTGCCTCTTCGTCCTTCCCTCTAAAAATTTTTTGTGACCACTCCTAAAGTGTGTCGTCGAGTCGCCGACCGCACGCACTGGCCGTAGATTGCGAAGCATGCGCGGCGCAGCTGAAATGTCACGGGGCACCGCTTACTATAGCAGTTCGTATTGGTGCAAGCGTTTGACCTCGCGGCGCGTGCTCCGCAATCACGGCCAGTCCGTGCGGTCAAAGACTCGACGGCAATTTTGCTCTTTTCATTCGAATGCACATGTTAGATAGCGATTTAGACTTCAAAAATGCTCAGAATATATGTTTGATTGAAAAAAAAACATATGACAAAGTAAATACGGATCGAATAAATTATGTTTTTTTTCTGTGGAAAATAGCTTAATTAATAATAATTAGGATATTGAATGGTTTTCCTCGCAAGGAAAAAATACATAAAGAAAAATTGCATTCCCAAAAATTTCTTGGTAGCCTCGTTGATTCGAAATTTTGAGAAGATTCCCAAAAAATCTAATCTTCAAGATCATGGATTTCTCGGAATAAGAAGGCTGACTAATTTCCTATAGAAGAAGAATGAATGGCCTCAAAAGACAAAAAAAACCCGTACCTTTGCTTCGCGCATCTTCTCCAACGCTTGCTTGATTTTCGCCGCTTTCACCTCATCAGCTGTGAGTTCGGGGGAACGTGGTGAAATCTGAAAGCCAAAAAATTCAAGTTTTTCAACAACACAATATCGATTTTGCGAATCGATCGATAACTCTGGAATGGGGTGGTTCTGAGTAATCGGTGCTGCGTGGGTGAATGTGCATGTGCGTGTGTACGTACGGATGGACGTGCTGATTCATAGTACGGCGCCGTCACCATCAACCCTTCTCTTGTCGCTTCAAATGCATCAACGCTTCAACGCAGTGAATAAGTGGTTACGTAGGTGAACGATGTCGAAGTCAGCGATATCTCCGGGTAATCAGGCTACTATTTGGGCTACTCCTTCAAGAAAAAAAATGGGTACTTTTCCACGCAAAGGAACCCAAAAAGTCAAAGCATGAATTCATCCGCATGAAACCTAATGATATTTACTCGCGGATGCAGAACAACTAAGCCAATTTATAAAGGACCTTTTTAAAAAGGACGGTAGTTATAGGTAGAACGATATAAATCTGAGTAAGATCTGTGATAGCGCTGAAGTCGTTACCTTTCTTCAACAAATCTTATGCTTGGCGTCAGCCCTAAAGCATACCATAGAGTAATTTATTGCAGATTTCCTTTTGGTGACTCTACCTCATCACGGCCTTCCACACAATAAATGTTTTGTTCTGAGCTATGGATCTATTTTTTACTTGCTCTGGAGCAGTTTGAGTAGTGCATCTTTCGCAAAATTAAGTGGTTCTTTCACTGTCCAGGTGTAAAAAATGTTCCAAAAATTTTTTTTGGTGCAGGAATGCGAGTGAATTTTTTCTCGAATAAATGGGCACTATAACAACTCCACTCTACCAAATTTTTGGAAGCTTTTCCCTCAAGTTTTTCAAAGAACGCATGGCGGCAGTCATATTTCCAAATTTTTCTACAACAAAAGTGTATTTTCACTTTAAAATTGTTCCAATTATTCAATAATTAAAACAAGGTTGCGTAGCTTTGCAGTTTTCATGTAAATGGGCGACTATCAAATTTGCGACTCTTTTGTGGCCCGTCACTGCCGTAGATAGAGTTCTCATCAACCCAACATGCTCGTTGTGTAATTGCACCACTACTATAAATCTGCGAAGCAGTTTAGTGCGCTAAAGTCATATCGTGACTGAGACACAATAAATTCACAGAAAAGACAGGAAAAGTTTCGGAAGTTCCCGCGCAAATTTGAAAATTGGTGCAATTACACAAGATGACTGTCCGAATAAAATTACTGTAGAGTATTGTCTAGAAAATGGCAACGGATGTTCGGATTTGAAGTTTTCCTATCACTCATTCTTTTGGCAATTTAGTCTCGATAAATAAGTAGTCTTTTTCTGGAATCTGCATTTTTCTATAATGCCATTTTTTCTATAATACTCTTTGCCACTCTAACTCTGACCAATCACTATTTTTTCTTCAAATAATTAACAGCAATGATACATTTTTTTGGAATTTTAATGCAACGCCAGTAATACGGTAGATGCCCTTTACGTTCGCTCTGTTTGAGACCACCAGTCACACTTTCTATGCATTGCGCAAACACAGTAAATATGTGTCATCATCAGACTACCCTTTGCCACCCTAACCAATCATAATTTTCTTCAAATAATTAGCAGCAATTAATAAATGCTCTGCACGTTTGGCTTTTGACCCATGGTTTGTGCATGCCAGAAGGCTGACCGTACGTGGTGTGTTCGGCCATAATTAATCAAGCATTCGGTGAAGGAGAACTGAGCCTTCAAAGGCTCGCTCACGCCACGCACCTGCCCATCGAAATCAAAAATCGCACAAAAGCCCACAAATTACTACCGTATACCCTGGTCATCTGGCATAGGAGATGTATTGATTAGTCCCATTTTGGATACAAAAAAATTCGCAGTTTGCTTTTTGCGAAAAAAAGTTGGGTAAAAAAATGTGTTACAACGTTGGTACGTATAATATAAATCACTGTAAAATTCTCAAATCAATACTTTTCAGTCAAGTTGGTCCCAAAATGCCTAAATATGGTGCTCTTAGAATCGTTTTTAGACTAGTGAACTGTAATCGTAAAGATGCTAGATTTGCAGGCGCTTTCGCTGCAGGAGCCGCGCTGTCTCCCCCCAATTTCACTTTTTTGAATAGGCACAACGATCCTTTATAGATTAATTTCTGCAATATTGTTTCTAGGAGCACAATATTTTAATATTTTGACAAGGTTCGAATTAACTCAAGCTCAAATGAGAGTCCTACTTTGTGCTGTTTTTTCCAAGTCCTAGTTTTGCTGTTTCAGATCTTTCAAAAAAAAGGCTAAGTTGAGTACATTTTTGATCATTTTCTGAAAATCATTCTTAGGAGAGATTATTTGATGAATTTAGTTTTTGTAAGGGGCAATAAAGTGGGGGTGAATCCCGCAAAATAAACTGTGTGGATGTGACTTAAACAATTACATTTCAAATTTGTATCTGGCCAAAGTTTGGTTAGGTTTACATCATCACTTATGAATCCATAGTTTTGGTCGAGAAATAAGAAACACTTTTTATGGATTCCAAAAAGCAGTATGCTGAAAGGTATCACTCAAAGTTCATTAGTGGATGTGCCATATCAATGTAAAATTACCATTTTGCATTTCATGGTTGAAATTGACTCAAAAATTCATTCCGAAGCCTTAAACGGGTGCATACATATTTTTCACTCAAAATTAGCGCCCCATTTAAACTTGCCCCAAAATCATTTCTGACCTAAGCCAATTCCCATCAATGGTCTCACCTCCATGTCAAGAATGATGCCCTTTGTGCCATGCCGCCATCGCTTCCGCATCGCAATCAAATGAATTGCTCGAGCGGAAAATCGATAATTGATAGCTAGCCTGTATATGCTCGCCGACTGCATTCTGAGGACTTAGCTCTAGTTTTTTGTGGTTCAAATTTGTGTAAGAAAGTGCCCACATTTGCTGCCGGGCAAAAGGTGATCGACGAGCAAATCAGCGCAAGTAAATGTCTTCACAACAAAGACCGTAAAACATCAAAACGTTGCCGATGAGGGGGGACAAAGTGAGTTGCACGAGCCTCCCGTTGTGCTTGTAGAAAATGACTTGTGTAAATAGTGGGTAGCCCGAGTGTGAGTCATGTTGCTTTTATGGGTAGCTTGAAGGTTGCTGGGTGTTCCATGCTCGTCATAAAATTGCGAAAAAATCACAAGCCGTCCTTAAAAATATCAGTTAGATATCGAAGGTCTACAGGGGTTGATCAACTCCAAAAACCTCCTAAACTTCAAATTCGCTCCAATCTAAAGGACATTTAAAGGATGCAGGGCTTATCCACCGGCATTACCGATGCTGCAGATGCAAAATAGGCAGCAAATTCACGCAAATTTGTTGTGTTCAGTTTCTTCGTTGTTCTCTGCATCTCTTTGTGCTTTCTCTATTCTAAAATTTTTTTATTTCAAAAATACTTAAGGCCTGCTTGAAACCTCTTTGCTTCATACTTAGGGCACGACCCACTGGCATAACGCTGCAAACGCACACGAAGTCAGCAAGTTTACGGCAGTTTTGTAAATGTGCTCAATTACTTATTTTGTTTTTTTCGTTGAATCTCTTCGTTCTTTTTCTCTTCTCGATTTTTTTGAATATATCTCGGCATTTTCTCTTCTACAGCAATGTTTTATCGTCTCAATCTTATATATAAAGCTGAATGTCTGTTTGTCTGTCTGTCTGTATGTCTGTCTGTCTGTCTGTCTGTACGTATGTTCCGAATAGAAAATTCCATTTCTGAACCGATCGGGACCAAACTTGGCACACATACGCTTCGGTGCAGGGCGGGTGTCATAGGCTACTTTTCGTCATCGATCGATATCGATTTTATCGATTTTTTGCAAAATTTGAGCTAGGGGGCTGGGATTTGGCACAGGGGGTAAGTGAGCATGGGGATTCCGAATACAATATTAGTTTTTAAAGTCGTGCATTACTTTAATCGATTTTATCGATTTTTTTGCAAAGTTTGAGCTATGGGGCTGGGATTTGGCGCAGGGGGGTAATCGAGCATGCTGATCACCCCCGTGGGGGTGATCAGTATGCTCGATTACACCCCCTGCCAAATTCCAGCCCCCTAGCCCAAATTTTGCAAAAAATCGATAAAATCGACATTAGTCGATAACGAAAAGTGGACTGTGACACCCGCCGGGGCCCGAAGTGTATGTGTGCCAAGTTTGGTTCGGATCGGTTAAGAAATGGAATTTTCTATTCGGAACATACGGCGGAGCCGGGTATGCCAGCTAGTATGAGGGTAAAAATATTTGAAAAAAATCAGAATCTCTAGAAATTTGCCAAAAATTTGTCCACCAAGCTTCTATGCGCATTGTGGATGGCATAAAAATAATCTGATTATTCTACAAAAAAATTTTGCTGGACAAAAACTCACATTCAGAAGCAATAGAAATTACCCTCGAACAATTACTAATTTGTTATCGACCAATTCCCACGACCCTTTGTCTTACAAAGGGCTCCCCGCTGAGGCCAAAGCACCTGGCCGACCAGACAGACAACATCTGATATCCATTTTTACAATTACGTAATCCTACCCGTCACATTTGTCGCGTCGGAATGTGGCTTTGAAGCTAGCCAGATGCCTAATCTCAAGCGCAATACTTTCTGGGTAGTAAATAGCCGATGTTGTCCGAAAAATGTGGACGAGTTGTCCAGAAAACACAACTGTCACGAATTCCGTTAGGTCAGAAGTACATCGATATGACAGGTGTTCATAGCCAAAAATATGATTGATGAGAACGGATTACACAAATTTGAACGTGGTGAGGTCGCGGGGTAGGCATTCGCGGTACGCTGGGTAAGCGGCATTCTGAAATTTTACCCAAATAGTGTAGCCGAAAATCTTGCGCGTTTCATGGGTTAAGAAAATTATCAAATAAATTGAGGGCTTTTTTAACCCAAATGTCTCTCTAGTTGCTCCTCTTCCATCAAACATTGACCCCCCTCCCTCCCTCAATATTTTGACCCTCTCAAAAACAACCCACAAATCAAATCAATACACAGCTTAATTTGTGCATTGACATTGCGTAAATGATGACGCAATACGTAGCGGAGCGTACCACTTGCGTAAGGTTACGTAAATATTGGAGAAGCAAACCCATAAAAGCTGTTTGGAAAATAAAAGATTGGGAGGTCTCAGCGAAATGACGTGCGGATTTTGAACAGAAACGGCGTACAAAATTTATTAGAATTCTCAGCGCACAAACTTTATTAGAATTCTCAGCGCACAAAAATTCAGCGATTAGATGATTCGTGTAAAATTGTTCAAATTCCAAGAATTGTGGTCCCCGAAATTTCTGTTCCTTTTTTTTCTGCGGTCAATGTAAGCAAAAAACCAAGGGATGTGTCAATTTGCATTCCATATGGCTTTTTTTCTGAAATGTTTATAGATTTCTTCGACCACCTGACTACTTTTCAAGGTCTCCAACGTTCCCTTGCCAATTTATCTTTTTTTTCGGAGATAAATTTGATTCCCAATGGGAAAGAAGGGTAGCTAGCAAAGACTGCACTTGTGGCTCACTATTCTTTCCTCTTTTGTTTGAATGTAAGTACCTAGTTCCAACCAATTTAAAGGTTCAAAAGTCCGGAAAAGGCTCACCTATTCTAAAGATGCTAAGTAGAAAAAAATCCAAAAAAACCAGCAAGTTTTACGATAATTCCTTTCTCTTTCCCCGTCAACGTCAAGCAATGCTCTAGAAAAATTCTGGAAAATACGCTAGAAAAAATTGATTTCTTTAGCGCTATTTTAGTTTTGGTAGTCTAGTTTCTGTTCCTTTACTTCCATACAGAAGTAGATTATCTGTCTCCGAAGGTAAATCTCAGCAACAAATTTCGTAACTTTCTATTGTATATGCTGTAGATTGCCTATTTTTCTTACCAAACAAGAATAACAAAACCAATAATGCGTCACCAAAATGAATCAAAATATAAAAAGAATAACTTCCGTAATCACGAACCTGTGTGGGACTAGGAGTATGTAATGAGTCACGACAACTATCATTACTGGAAAACGCAGAATTTCGGCATCTGGCTGATTCTGTAGAAGAGGCATCGCCAAAGGCACTGTCGCCGTCTGGTGACGAACACGACGATGGCGCACATACGGCAGGTAGCTGAAAAAAATTTACATAAAATATAATATGGCATTTTTCCGTGAATTCAAATAGAGTTCATAGGTAATTCGGGGAAGTTTTCCCTTTTCACCCAATCTGGGTTCGCTAAAAAAAGGTTACAGCGCCGCTTGCATGCCCTTTCGTGAACTTTACGCAATCGCTCCTGCTGGAGCTGGAAAAGAATACCGAAAAAGGTAAAAATGTTATGGGAAAGGGGGAGCGACAGAATTTTTGCGAGAATGGGAAGTTGATGCCAGCATACTTATCTTCAGGCTTCAATAATGTACTTTAAATAATCTGTCACAAATTTTTTTATAAATAAACAAATATTTAAGAGATAGTTCTAATTTTTAGCCTGTCCTTGAAATAGGAAAGAACCCTGTTGGCCTTCACTATAGTACGTCAAATCACCATGATAAATGAAAGCCATTTCCTCGCGAATTGCGGCTCAAAATGAGGTTTGTTGTGGCGCAAATGAAGAAAACGTATGGCTATACATGACATACAAAAAAACAAAATAGGTCAAAAATTGAATTATTATTGCAAAAGTATAGCATAAATATTAAACGAACGTAATTGCCTAATTCTATTCTGTCCCTCTTGAAATCAAGGTTCAGCTTTTTTTTTTGAAAATAAAAACGATGATTTTTCTACTAGATTAGCTAGTTTAATTTTCAAATCTTCAGTTTGCGGAATGAGAAAAAAATCGATACTCAGCAATTCATTAAAAATTGGAAATTCAAAAAAATAGCTGTTAACACTAAAAAAAAACTCAGAGTGTATATTTTGTCAGACTTTTTATGCCCCGAGTGAATCACGACTTCAAATTTTCAAAAATTCTCCCTGAGACCCCGTAATTTCACGTTCCGCTAGTCACGCTAGTTCAAATAGTGACTCCTACGTAATTGTCCTCTCCTCATGTTTTACAACTCATCCGCGGGTTTTCGTGAGTAGTTAGGTAAATAGAGGTACCCAAATGAAGGTCAAGTCGCTGGTATCTTGACGAGCAATCTCGTCACGCATCTTACTTGAGCACACCATATGGAGCGGCAGATGACGGTTGGACACGGATTTTTTGTATCGTAGGTGAAGAAAAAAATTCACAAAAAGTTGGTTAGAGCAGTTCTCGGTTCCGCATGAGAAGACAGAAGTGTAAGACGCCTACTAGGAAATTTTGGCGCTAAAAATTTGGATATCCTAAAAAGTTATCTTCGGAATTTTTATAAAATATATTTCTTTCAAAATTAGCTCTGATATTAATCCAAATGACTTCGCTTCGAGACTCAATGGCTATGAAAATTACTTGGCTTTCGTAGATGATTCCTGATGGGAGAAGAGCGGACGTGTTGCGTTCTAGTCTCGATCGAATTAGGCTCTACCAAGCTAATGCGGGCTGTTGTCTTCCCTTACGAGTCCCAGTGCTTTCACTAATGAAAAGTGCCGCCTAATAGGTTACAGACACCGTCTACCAAAATTTTGGATTCTAAAACTTGAAGCTGTATAATAGCGGAGCCCCTAATTGAGCAAATGCCCAATTCCCGCTGCGAAAAATAAATTCCGAAGCGAGATTGCTCAAGAAGGTAGAAGCGGCCCAGGTGGCTCCGCCCATCAACGTGGGTGGTCTGAAGTTAAAAGTCCGAAATTGCAGTCTAATGCATCTAGAACTGTCAATAAATCCTTCCTTCATCATGGTTATAAGATTTTCGATGTTTCTTTCTACCCTTAAGCCTAATTTGGGACTTACCATCTTCAGACCACCCAAGTTGATGGGCGGTGCTGCCCTGGCCGCTTTTACCTTCTGAGGCGCTTTTCTCGTTTCGGTATTCGCCTTTTGCAGCGGGACTTGGGCGATTGTTTAGTTAGGGGTCCCGCTATTATATAGCATTGAAATCTAACCAATCTCAATTTTTGGGTGGATGGTGCTTTCCATAGGATATACCTTTTATGAGTCTAATTTTGCGGCAAAAATCGCATTTTCGCCCCCTCCTCTCCCAGTCACGTTTAGAAGAAAAATCGAGCCGGCTCACGCTACGAGAGTTGTCACACGGTAGTGAACGGTGATGGATGGACATGCCTTCCTCTGAGAGTCCGTGCACGCACACGGCGCCGAGGCCGTTCCGATGCGCTCATGCGTAAGCAATCCGTAAACGATGGTCTTATCAGATTACTCTCTGTGGCTAGTAGTAACGTTTGCTATATGGACAGGGCTGAGCCTCCCCCCACCCTCACGGGTCTGTAAAACTTCGGCGCAAAAACAGCACTTGTGTTTGTGATTGAAGGGTCAGTAATTCATAACAAATTTTAGAGCTGCTATACTAGTTAAAAATATTTGGGAATTTGCCAAATTATATATTTTCGTAAGGAGTTGCTGCATAATGGACTGGACGAGATAAACAACAACTGCATTGCACTTATCCTTTATTTATCTTCATATCAAATTTCAAAATTTTGATAAAAATAGCTTCCAAACCACTTGGTAAGGAGTGACACCAGGATAAATTTTCCATGGTTTTAACAATTGGTCTGTTTTTTTTTCGAAGCAAAATTCGGGCATTCCTAAAACAAGGAAATGGTTTCGTTACGGATGAGTAAAATTTTTCAAAATTATTTGCATGAAACTTACTCGGAATTTTACAGAATTTGCATCATCAGGTAAAAAATCGATAATTTTGAAGGGTAACAAAAATTAGCAAGAGGAAGCGCCACAATCTTGGAGGAATCCACGAAATCTCCTTTTATTGGATTTTTATTCACTACAAGTAGCTAGTTTCAGCTCAATACATAAACTAAACTGCTGCCCTTTCTTATGCCACATAGAACCCTTTTGTGAATATATGACTTATGGCAAAAATGTATGCATAAACAAACGAGGAAACTCGTACAATTTGCGATTCATATTTATGCACTGTGTCTAATCAGCTAATGGAAAACTCTTTCATAAAAACAGAGCAGCTGTGCTAGCCCCTGTTAAACAAATACTGCCCACTATGAGTGTAACAACACGACATTAATACGACGCACTTGTGGTTTTATTCGAAACCGCTGTACAAACAAGCAGCTAAGCTAACATTTTTTTTAATTTCATAAATTTCAGCTAAAAGGAAAGATTGGGCATTCTACACCTTTCAATAATGAAACACCTTGTTCAGAGGATCGTCTATGAATATCTGTGATCTTAAGTAAGTCAAGTAACTTAGAAAAATGATTTAAGTATTCAAATTAATAATTGTCACAACAATCATGGACCTATTGTAATGGCTGAGTGTGTAGTAATGTTTTCAAAATCTATCTACATATAAGGAATCGTTGTGCCTATTCAAAAAAGGTGAAGCTGCGGTAAACAGCGCGGTTCCCGCAGCGAACGTGCCTGCAAGTCTAGCACCTTTGAGATTGGTGGTTCACTAGTCCTATACATAATATAGCAATTCAAAACGGGAAACATTTTAAAAAATGCAAACGTTCAGAAATTTTCGTCTAAAAATGGGAACAGCATGAAAAAAGGTTTATAGCGACAATAAATATAATTTTCTATAAATAAAAATTACATCGATCTAAACTCGAGAGTAATAGGCCTTACTAAGTCTACAATTTCTTTTTCATACAGTGCAATTGTTCACTGAGCAAAAACAAATAGTGGGTTCTAAATATTGGAAAAACATAATAAAATAAGTTTGTGCATTTTTTTCCAAGGAAATGCGAAGTTAAATTTATGGTAAACTTGTACATAGTAATCACAATGTTAGCACAAGGATCTAAAAAAATCAACAAAATTATTTTTTGCGAAGTATTTTTAGCTTTTGTTCGTTAATAATGGCTAGTAAAATTTTGAGACTTTGCAAAGATAATTTTATCGATTTTTCAAGATCATTGTACTGACATTCTGGATTACAAATTCCCATGGATTTAACTTCGCATTCAGCAGAAATTTCTTCGTCTAGTACCCTGCTTCCTTCCATAAAAGGAACCATAGTTCACAGGAAGCCTTTCTCTCTATCGTCGAAATCTTATCAGAATCAATGTCTATGACGCAGAATCGATCTCTATGCTAATGAGAGAAGATTGTTGTGCCCCCATGACGTACTGAGTCCCATCTAACCACATCTTGCTCCGTTATAAGATTAGAAATCGCGCCAATTGACTCGGCCAGCCGCTCAACTCGTCCCCATTTCCCTCTCCCCCATGCAAGCTGCCCTTCAAATTTGAAAACCCGTAAAAGCAACTCACCGGGACCCTAACGTCCTCCTTACTGTCGATCACTCGTTGCTGGGGATGTGACTGATGCTGAGTAGTCGGTAGTGGCGGTTTCCGTTCTGGATGTTGTGCCACTGTGGATCCAGAGGGTAAGGAAGGGATACCCAGAAGGAGCTGATCACCGCCGCTGGACGAGTTCAGCTGTGTTTCGAGAGCTGAGAGCTCTTCCAGCAGAGCATCGAGTTGCCAGTCAGCCGATTCTAAAGATTAAAAATCAATATATCGATTGAATGACAGGAAATAAAAGTGGATGATAGCATTGAAAATAAAATAAAATAGTAAATACTAATAAAATTATTAAGTTAGTGATTTTACTAAACAGTTCTATGAGAATCTATTCGTTGTAGCAGCGGCTCAAAGGCCAAGAGAAAAAATTGAATAATAATTTTATTTTTAGCAACCTTCACATTTTTTCTCAACATGCACTGAATCACAACAATGAACAGAATCTGGTTTTTTGTAAATAAAAAAAAATGAAATGTTAGGCCATCAATCAGCAGTTGTAAGTGAGACTAATTCTATTACTTGAAAATGGAGTCAGAGAAGAAGGGGCCTTTATGTATTGAATTTTTTCAGCTCAAGAGCTACAAATTTGCGCAATTTTTCAGCCCTAAAGCAAGATTTTTCAGGAAATCTTTTCAGCTCATAAGCAACGCTGTTTCATTACTTTTAAGCCCAAATGCAAGAAATTTTTACAATTTTTTCCAGCGCGAAAACAACAATTTTATAGAAATTTTCAAACCCAAAACCAGCAATTTCTAACTAGAAAAGTTTTTTCGATCCAAAAAGCAAAAACCTCTTTTGTGTTTTTAATCTTTTTCAGCCCAAAGGCAACAAATTTCCACCATTTTTTCAGCTCGGAAACAACAATTTCATAAAAAAAAATTTTGAGCTCAAAACCAGCAAATTAAGAAATTTCAGCCCAGAAGCAACATTTTTCGGTTATTTTTTTCAGCCCAAAAGCAACAATTACTCAATCTCAACAACACATATTTTTACCATAGCACAATATTTATTTTTAGATAACAGCTCTTCTCTCTCCCCCGTTCGCACCTTCATCAAAAACACCAAAAACCGGAATCGCTTTCACATTAGCGTTTCCATCCATCATGTTATTGAAAAAACAACACAATCGCTACTCCACTCTGGCTCTATGATCAATCGATTTATGACAGATTGACCAGTCCTTACCTCTTTGTAACTTATACTGTCGATAAGCAAGCATTTTCGTTCTAGAAGCTCACATACGGTCGTGTGATTTATACTTGTTGTCGAAGCGGGGGTTCGATGTTCGTTCTGGATTAGACGCAAAAATGCGGATTAGATGTGTTGCGCATTAGCGATCATATGGACAAGTTGAAACGGAGATTGAAGCAGAGAGCATGGGAAGTGTGGACGGAAAATTGCGGATCAAGATCGTACATTCCTCTTCCAGACTTGAAAATAGTAAACAAAACGATTAGCGTGATTTCATCGCAGCAAAATGTTGATAAGCAGATTGGAAAGGACGTTTTATCAGCACTGTGCTCGCACGCAATAATGCAGAAATTTTCGAAAAAACCTCAGCGAAAACTTGTTTAGTGATGGACACCTGGGGCATAAATCACTCCGAATGGATGACAGTTTACGACCCATGGCGCGGAAAATTGTTCTGCATTTGTTGCAGATATAGTATCAGGAAATTGTGCAATTGCAGATCTCTTCTCCATACGTTCGAAATGGGAGTAATAAATTCCGAGCAAAATTTGAAGAGAGATACGAAGCCGCGAAAAAAGAAGAAGCAATTCCAAGAACTTTCTAGAAAAAAGGCTCCAAAAATTTGCCAAAAAGTAGATACCAATATCTTATACTGGAAAATACAATTCATTTTTCAACAAGAACCACACCAAATATCCCAAATAAATTCGTAGAATTGGGAAAAACAAATGTACTTTACTACCGCAAGGAAAATTCTCGAAATCTGCTGACATTTGTTTATTTAACAAATCCAGAAAATTTTGCTGGATGTCACAAGGAACGATGGCCTGAGTGGAAAACGTGCTCTAATGTAAATAAATGAAAAAAGATTGCAAGGAGCATTCGTTCCCATTTGAAAATAAAACGCAGGAGAAATCAAATGAGAAGAAAAGTCCCAGACTGTGAGAAGTGAAGTCTTGCGCTCTATTATCTAATCAATCAAGCGATAAGAAAAGCTGTAATTATTATTGGAATTTCTTGGGAACAAAAGTGAGAGAAAGGCAAAGGAAACAAAAAAAAGAAGAAAAGAAGCTTATAGTTCATTGGCATTTACTTAAAATATCCATAAACTCTCGGAATTTTTTACCTTATAAAGCGCTTAAACTGATTGGGAAAGATAGCTAATACGGTACTGACGAAAACATAAATATGCACGAATTACGTACAGGTACGGTAGTTTTTGATCAAAAAAAATTTTTTTCACAAGCGGAAATGACTCGCAAAAAGTGTACGGATCGGCAATAGAGAGTTTTTTCTCGAGAAGAATTTCCGGAGAAAAAAGAAAAATGATCGAACGTGGGTGAATTCCACAATAGGGCAAAAATGAAACGGAGTGGTAAATATGCCAGAAAATGTCATCTTACAGCTAATTAAATACAGTGATATTTACAAAACCTTTAATTTGATCAGAAAGCAAGAAAGTACAAATTTGGCAAGTCATACATTTAGAAAAAAATTGATTTTCCAGCGTCACAATAGAAGCTAAAAATATAGCCGAATTTCAATTCTAATTTGGCACCATTTCCGCAATTTTTCGAGAAACTGATTTTACTAATCGAAAATGAAACCCTCCTCATTTACCTGCGCCCCCAAAGATTGGACATATAAGAGTTGGAAATTTCTTACATTTTAAAAGAAAGACAAGAGCGAGACAAATTGAAAACTACTTTTTGAGTTGCTAATATTTGTTCAGCGAAACTTCGAGAAGTAGTGAAAATTGGTTGAACACTTTTAACCAATAAAAATTTGAAGTGACTGGAAATTCAAGCACTTGTAGAGACATTGCTGAAAGTTTCTCGTGACTTGATAATAAACATGAGCATCATGTTTCAAAAGGGGGGATTTTCTAGCCGCATAAGAAATTTTGAATGCAAAATCTCAAGAGACAAACAGAAAGCGGGAGCGCGATTTACACGCACACACGAGAACCAGACGAAGCATCAGATGCAAAAAAACTAGACAGGAGAGGGGGGGGGGGGCTTGACTCGAGGCCACGGTTATGAGGGACTGGGCTATAACATCATTCCCGCCCATATGTCCTCCTTACTTCCTTAAACAACCACCAAGGGGTGAAAGGCCAGCACACACGGGGCACGGCGACGGGGGCCGCTTACGCACAAACACGCGGACAGAGCACATAGCTGAACAGCTGTATGGCCGTTGAGATCACCTCAGCCGGGGCTAACAGAGAGCTCAAAAGGGCCACTAGAGCACCCTATTGTCGTCGGGGGTGTGTAAAACGAGTAGCACGTACGATGCATTAGCGATGACACGACCAAAACAAAGCGAACGATTGTCACCAGCCGTTCGAGAGGCGGGCTCTCTATTAGGGGCGCTCGCGACAAGACATGGGGAAGGCAGTGAAAGTGCACAGCTAGCAGTAGTTAGGCTTCGTTATAGGGTGAAGGGGCTAACAATGTGTGTTCAAGGGGGAAGCACTAGAGAACCGGTAAACTCACTGGTACAAGATTCCTAGCAAGACGTGCCCCGCGCTCGAAGAGGTCAAGAGGAAACTCCAATTTAAAGGCAGTTTTTCAGTACCAGATAAAGTGCGTTAGCTTACTATCTGTATCAGGTTAATACTTGCTGAGTTTGGTGGTTTTTGCCGGAATGTGGACCGAAATATTTACGAAATTATTCTTAACTGTTTCATGGATTTGTGATCTTCAAAACTGCTGTTTCGAATTTACTCCAAGGTATCAGATAAAACAGCCCATGCGCTTGTCTGATATATATCCTAAATTTCAAATATATTTAGACAGTCATAACACTTATTATGTGCAAATTGGTGTCCATATAGTAGTTAGAATCATGCCTTTTGACAACTCTCTGACTTGATTAAGCCTAATTATTTGCAAGTTTTTAAAAAATCGTAATATTGCCCAGATGCCATAATTTCATTTGAATATAATAGTGAGAGAGAAGCTCAAACCTTCTATGGTGATGCTCAATGCCAACTTTCTGTTGTCACAATAGGCAATAAAAAACGATAAAGAAAAAATTAAATTGTACTTTTTCTTGGATTTGGTTTCAATAATATTATAGGGTCCAGAAACTTCCACTTTCAATCGGTGCAAATCTGATACTCTACTATCTATTAGGTCGGCTAATAAATAAGTTCGGTCGTTTTCAAAGGTTTGTAGAAATTTTACAGAAAATTTATGCAGGAATGTAGGTATCATTGGAAGAAGCAAATCATGGAGATTAGGATAGTCAACATTTTTTGAACGAAAACCATTATTTCGACAACGAAATAGTGCAGAAAATCAAAATAGGCTTTTAGCTACTACCTCACAGAAAATCATAGAACAACTACTACTCAAATTATTAATCAAAAGAACTTATTTATTAGTCAGCTTAATAATTAGAATAAACTTGAAATCGTCTATCTCTACAAAAAATTATTATTATTATTATTATTATTTCTGAATTCCTTTTTTAGATTTTGGTGCTGTCAGATAAATTCTACTAAGTTTACTCAAATATTACACATTGTACAGACAGAATTATTCATTTGTTGAAACTGTCCTTGAGCATTCTTAGAGGAATTTCTAGAATTTATGGACAAACCATGTTCCAAATCATAGTTGGGCACTTTCAATTATGCATAACAAAAATTATATTTTGAATCAAAGCTCATAATGGAATGCATAAGTGAAATGATTCTGGAATTTTTTTTTTGCAAAAGGGATGTACAAAGGAAGAAGAAGAAAAGAAGTAGAAGTAGTAAACCTTAATCCACATAAAATGATTTTTGCACAAAACTGATCGAACTTGAAGATGCGGAAAAGTCATATTTGCTCCCCCTTTTTTATTCCCTCTTTGTAATCTTGCCTAAGCCAGCTATTTTTATAACAAATCAAAACGCTTGAGTATAGCCAAGGGTTGTGAGTAACGACATCGGCGAGAGCAACACACACAGGTAACCTGAGCCTTTCCAATGGCATTCTGACGACAGCGCTTTACTAGCACATGGGTATGGATCTCCTGCTCTCTCCCCCCTCCCCCTTGCCCCCGGGGTTGCAGCTGAATCAAAAGAAAAATTCCCTAGTGGGAATTCCTGCAGGAATTGCGGCAAGACTACAATCGAAAAAAGGAAAAGGTGAACATTTCTAGTCGAAAGAAAGGAAGGTTATTTTTTTCTCTAATGACCTCGAAATACCACGACAGAGTACGCATTACTGTCATCCAGGTCCTTTTCAAAAAAGAGGTAGAGCTTCTTCTCGAAAGCAATTAAAATCAAATGAATGAGGACAGGTTTTTCCTCTAGAGGTTGCCGAAAGTTCGAACTGAAAGGAGGAAAGCTTAGCCTTAAGCGGAAAATTGCGGAAAAACTCAAGAAATTTGCACATACAGTATGATTCCCTGTGATCAATCGATAATAGATTTGAAACAATCGATGAACAAGGGGATTTGAACGGTGCGCGGAATGTGATTAAGAGCCGAACAGACAGCGCCGCGCCTATGCACAAATCGGCGATTCGCAAAATGATTGCGGTCTCCCCTCTGCTGTCACATTCGGGACGAGTTTTAGCGGACATCAACGACCCAGGAGATATCAATCGTTGTTTACGAGAAGAATAGTCAACAGACAACAACTATTCAGATAAGAAAGTCCTTTTAAATAACCTTTTTCGGTGCAATAATCAGACATCAAATATAAAATTGAAAAAATGTGAAAATAATAATTCCATTTATATCTGAACAAAAGAGCGAACCTTTGATATTGTTCATGCTGTATCGAAGCGTGTCGATCGGAGGTTTCGGCGGCACCTGTGGGCGTGGCCTGACCCCATGTGGCAAACCATTCGCTCCGCCTCCATCGCCTTCTGCAACAACTCCCGAGGAGTCGTCCAGTGTCATCTGAAATTCGTGGATATAACAAAGGAGAATAAGTCTTTTATGATTTGCATCAAAAAGAAACGATCGATAGATATGCATTGCATATAGATCACCCATACGATTTTTTGAACAAATGAGCAGCAGCATTATTCAAAAAGAAATTGGAGAGGACCCCATTCAACAGAAAAGAGAGGAGGAACCTCACTGAATAACTTTATCTCAGATGACCGGACTTCCGCAGAATGTTTGGAAAGTTCCGCAAGGTCACCTGCGGAAGTTCTGGTGAATTGTTTGAGATGTCGTACGTTGACCATCAGCGGAGAAAACAAGTAAAAAATACTCTAGGAAATCTACAGATGCTTAACAAATAAAAAGTCCGAGTAATGAGTAAGAAGACACAATAATATTAACTTCACGAGATTCTGGTTTATGTTGGAGATTTTTCCTTTGATTTTCAAGAACATGCAACTTTTTTGTATTCAAGCAGTCAACGAGTTTTTGCTATGGATTATTGGCGTGTTCACACTTTTGAACTGAAAAAAAGTTTCAAAAATGCTTTTCTAAAATAAAATTAATTCTCTTCTTGAGCCTAATAGTTGCAAGCCCACAAGAGTCTCAGAAGGAGAAGTCGAGAGCATAGCAATCACTTCATCCGAGAAGGATATCCTGCTGTCCCCCTTCCACCCCTTTCGCACAAGCTCCGCCCTAATTTTTGCTTTGAAAACTTGTTGATTTATATCTAATCTATTGTACTGCGCTTGGATAATCTCAATGAGCTCTCATGACCATCACAAAAAGTACTTAACGCTCATGACGCAGTCTTTCATGATGAAATATGATCATGAATATTACAGCTGCAAAAACAGCTGTGTAAGCTAAATTCGTCAGTGGTCTCATGACAGAGGAAAAAACAAAATGGAATTAAAGTTGGTAAGAGTTCGGCCATGACGACTACTTCTGCTACAGAAAAGGAATGATTTGATGTAAAGAATTCCCCATAAAAGTCGCTATCAAAGACTCTACTGTAGTGAATGGCAGGGCTCGACACGCAGTGGCTTTCCAAAAATGAAAAAAACGAAGTCTCCCTTGACTTTACCCAAAATTTTACGAATTACCCTTTGACCCTAAATCATAACCCTAGAAAATCGTCAAAAAAAAGAAGGAAACGTCGACCAAAAAAACTTCGCAAGTTCTGTCTCTTTTCGGCAACAAAACGAAACCATTTTTGATTTTTGTCCCAAACCCAGCTTGCTTATAAGCCACCTGTGCCGAGCCCTGGTGTATGGATTACAGAAGGACTCATATGAACAGGAAATCTGAAGCACAGTCAAGTTGTAACCTTGTGTGTGCGAGTGCAGACAGTGTGCCTATTAGACGTCAAACTCACAATCAGTAGGCAGGTTGCATGCGTTTTCTGAAGAATTTTCTTTAACGTTAGCTTGTGAAGCGGAAGAAGCAGTGGCCAAAACAAGAAATTACGCCTTATGTGAATGTAGTGTGCGATCACACATTTTAGGTTAATCTCTTATCTGCATTAACAGACTACATTATGCTCATTTGGATTACTTTAGATCAACTTAATCACTTTTGACACGACATCAATAACTTTACTGGTATTTATAGCTGGATTAGGTCTGCGCGTGAATCTTGCAAAAAGATTATTTATCTTAGCTAGATGTTATTTGCAATCTTATTGTCTCATTTCACATACTTCGATAATATTTTTTCAGTAGTCAGCAGCACGGGTTTAATTTTAAGGAGGCACAACAGATTATAGATATTTACATCATTCTATAATAAAGAATGGCAAGGTTTTGCACTTACATGTTGACAAGTTGCGGACTGAGGCGAGTGATTGCCGAGGGTGCGGAGGGTGCAGATTGTCTACAAGGCTAGCGTGTTTTCGTAGGGGTACAGGGGTGGTAAATATCGTGTTTCCTCGAGGAAGGCGTCCAAAAGGGGTGCGGTTCTTAAGTGCAAAAAGGCTATAGTTGGGAAGGGGCCGACACTCTCGTAAGGTTGCTAACAGTACCCCCTCCCCCTTCTTTCGCAAGTTTGAACTCTGCCGGTATGAATGATTCTGAACTCGCTGTCTTGCGTAGACATGCTTTAATAGTTCCTCAACGTTTACCCTTCGACTGCTCACATTTTCATTTTCCTGCTTAAGTTCTTGGCTGCCAATAATCAGTTAAAGTTCATAGCTGGCATAGTTGGTGAGAATTGATGAGGACAGTTCTCTGTTCTTGAAATAAGTTGGTAAGTCGTAAGGCTATTCTTATAGGTCTCTGCAATCATTTCTCACAACTCCAGTCTGTTCGCTGTTCATTGGGCATATCTTTCAATGCTTAATCTGTTCATAGGGCTCTTTCTTGATTTGTAGGTGCCAGTAAGGCAGTTCTACTAAAAATATTGATCTGTAAGCTCCCCTGAGAAGTTTTTTCGACAATTATCCAGTTAGCGGTTATTTGTAGGGTGGTTCCTTCTCAAAGTATCGGTCCGCAAGGGGAACATTTCATTTTCATATTTATAGTTCTGGTGGACCATAATGCGCTTTTTTTCAGATATGAATTTGAAGAGGAGCGGAAGGGCTCGTAGAATCGTCATACAATTATCGTTCCATAAGCTTCTCATCAGGCACTTGTACTTGTTTCTCAAAATGCTGATGTATAAGAGACTAGGGCACCTCCTAAAATTGTCGGTCTGTGTGCGGCGCGTAGAGGAGTTACTTGTGAAAGTTGGTTTGTATGAGGCGTAGATATACTGTAACCTGTTCTAATTATTTTTTCCCTCTCAGAAGACTAATTCATAAGGGACTCGGAAAGCGCTCTTTCTCAAATATCGGTCTTTGAACGGCTGCAATTTTTTTCGAGATATTGGTTTGAGGGTTTCCAGCTCAATTCTTGATATATTGGTCTGTGAGCTCCCATAGAGCGGTTATTTCCCAAAATGGTGCAAGAGGCCCATGGAGCGATTCTTTACAAATTATCGTTGGCAAGCCCCCCCCCCCCTCCCCGCTCGGCCGCTCCTTTTAGAAATTATCGATTTGCAGCGGCACATAGAGCAATTTTTCTTGAAATATTGGTCTGTAAAATCCCATAAGGCAGTCCTTTCTCAAATTATGGTTTGTAGGTGGCCCATAGAGCAGTTTTATCACAAAATATTGGTTGTATATAGGTTCCAAGGGCGGTTCCTCCTCAAAATACCATTGTGTAGGCCTCTAACAATAAGTAGCTGGCAGCTTCTTTCTCAAGACTTCGGTCTTTGGCTGTCCATAGAGCAGATTATACGTGAGTGCCTCGTAGGGCAATACAGTTTGTAGGGGCTGTAGATCTGTAATCTGGAATATCTGCTGATCCCCCATAGGGCAGGACTTCCGTAATTATCGGTCTGTGGGGGAAGGAAGAGGGGGGAGGGTAAGATAGCCTTTTCTCAGAATATCGGTCTTACAAGGGAAGTGTCAGAACTCGCAGTGGCCTTTTGACATGAAATAAGTATCATCTGAAGCAGCTTGAAATGCTGATTCCAAAGCAGCCTTTCTTAGCTGCAGAACTAATCTAGGACGAGAGTTATTGAATTTAATTTGCGGGAAATTTACAACGCTGAGAATAGCCAAAAATTGAAGCGAACATTTTTCCGGGCTCAAACATAGATGAAACAGTCCAACAATGTTTGACGTAATCCTACGCCTTCATCAAAGTCATGCTGTGGTGCTTAAACAAGCAATTGAAAGGTTCCCGTGATCACAGAGTATTTCAAACAGTGTAAAATTTAATGTTTAAAATGCCCATAACTCGCGACCCAGATCAGTTCTGCAGCTAAGAAAGTTTGTTTTGGAATCAGCATTTAAAGCTGCTTAAGATGGTACCCAACCCATGTCAAAAGGTTACTGCGGCTTCTGACACTTCCCTTGTTAGGGCAGTCTCAGCACGGTTCTTTCTCCAGTAGGGTTTGTTGGGAGAGGAACGACGGAGGAAGGGGAAGGGGGTTCTTGTAAACCTCGGTCTGTAGGGGACTGTGAGTAACTTCTCAAAACATCTGTCTGTTAGTGGCCTATAGGGCATTTTCTTTCTATAACTACCACTCTGCAGCGGCGCATAGGGCAGTTATATTCTCTAATATATCGATGGTAGTTACGTAAAGATATGTCTCAAGCAGCTCATAGCTTCTGTTGTTTCAAAATACCAGCTTGTGCTACACATAGGGCGAGCGACTGCTTCTTGCAATAATAGACTTTGAGCGGCTCTTAGGACAATTTTTGAAAGTTGGTTTGAAGATTTGAAGGACAATTTCTTCTTGATATCGGTCTGTGTGCGTCCATAGGGCAACCTTTTCTGGAAAAGGTCCGTAAGCTGCTCGTAGGATCATTCTACATGAGCAGTTCTTTTTTGAAAATATCTTTTTTGAAAAATACCAGTCTGTAAGCAGCCCACAGTGTAGTCTTGTCAAAATAAGGGTCTGTAAGCGGCCCATAGGGCATTTCCTTCTAATGACTAATTACCGTCCGCGGGCGGACCATAGGGCAATTTTTCCGTCTGTAAGCAGCTTAAAGGCTTCCCCGCAATATTCGATTTGTAGGGGGGGATTGTATGGCAGACTTATCCCAGAATACGATATCATTTGTAGGGGTATGAAGGGCACTATTTTCTCAGATTACCGCTCTGTAGGAGGCCTGTAGGAAAGTTTTTCTTGAAGTATTCTTCTCCAGGATCGTGGGGCAGCTCTCACATATACCGCTCTGAAGGCGCGGAGCAGTACGTATTTGCAAAAAGTCGTTTATAGGCGACGCATAAGGCATGAGAATACAATGCTTGTTTTCGCTGCCGGAATTTTTTGGGAACTGTGGTACTTTCTGAGTGTTTAGCTACATTGTCGCTTTGAGAGTCGACTGCTTGGTGACTCTGTTGAGATTGGTGCAAACATCCAAAGAAAATTTTTAGAAGAGAGTCAAAAGGTATCGAATAATCAGCAAAGAGGATTCTCACAATCAGAAGAGTCAAAAGTCACTTACTACTCGGTTTCAGTTGCC